CCCCCCCCCCACCCCTGCCAGACCATACCATTGGGGGGGGGGCTGGGAACGCCAGACGCCTGACCATATATGCAGTGTCACACTGCTCGGAGGTGAACTCGCGCGGCAGAAACTTGGGGGTGAACATCTGGAAGCTTGGCGCGGCTATGAACATGGAGCATTACTCAAAAACGGAAGTACTTGTGCAGGGGGATCGTTCTGGTTCTTCGGACTTTCATGATCTCCCTGCATGCGACGTATGTGTGTTCCACTTGGAGATGATTTCTTAGGTGGAGCCACGCGGAGGATTGGCGATGGTGGGACTTGACGAGGCCTTTACAGCTCTACAGAGACCACGCCGTCTGCTGAGTCTTGTGAGAGCGATCGTCCTGCCTAGCCGCGGTTGAATCAGCAGGTATGATGCAACAAGGTTCGGCACGAAGGATCTGCCTTCGTTTGATGCGTCGCTTTGCTTGCCAGGTCTTTTTCGTGTCCGTTTTTTCCACAGCTGTAGACACTGTAAACGCATGCAGTGCAAGCCAGCCCAGCTCGGCAAGGACATAGCCTCATAGCTCTTCAGGTTCAAAAGCGATGCTGTGAAGGATGCGAAATGCACCTTGGCATCAATGCAAGCGGGCTCGTGCTGGCATGGTTACGAGAACGTCGAAACGGGTCGGTAGGCGACGCAATCAGTCCAGGCACCCCTCTGGAAGACGACCTGCATCTAGGCGAGATTAAGCTGGTGGACGAAAGGCGCACGAAAGAAGCTCTCCTGCAGTTTACCGTAGCTTTGCTGTTTCGATGTTCCATGTCAGACAAGCATGCGGCTGACAGTCGGCAAGTGTAGAGTTGGAGGCCTCCCATCCAGGAAGCGTGGTTAGTGCTTTGTGCTGAATGAGCTAAGGCGATCATTAAGAAGAAGCGTGCGAAGCATGACACCTGGCAGAGAATTTTTGGTTCTTGTTGACAAGTGTAGCGTTGGTGACTCATTGTTCGAGCAACTTCGGCCGTGTGGCAGGGTATCGTGTCGGTGCTGATGATTGCTGATGAAGATCCTCTTGCTGATCTTGTACCCCCCCCACAAACTCAACATGCGAGTGTGTGCATGTATGTCATATCTACATATATATATATAAATATGTATAAATTAATTAGTTCTTAATGAATTAACTAATGAATTAGTTTAATTAGCTAATTACTTAATGAACTAATTAATGAATGAATTAACTAATTAATGAGCTAATTAAATAACTAACTGATCAATTAATTCAGTAATTGATTGATTGATTGATGAATGAATTAATTTCTTAAGCAACTAATTGGTTTGTTAATTCATTCATTAATTAACTAACTAATCTATAAGTTAATTAACTAAATAATTAGTTAATTAGTTAATTAATCAATTGATTAATTAGTTAATTAATTACTTACTTACTTAATTAATTAATTAATTAGTTAATTACTTAATTAATTACTTAATCAATTAATTAATTAAGTAATTAATTAATTAATGAAGTATTTAATTAATTAATTAATTAATATATGTATGTATATATATATATATACATACACATATACATATATACATATACATATGCATATGCATATGCATATAATATAGATACATACATACTAAACTGTGGCCAACCCGCGTGACATGTTCTTCCGTTTGACCCAGCGTGCTTCCTCTTCTCGGCTTTCTCGCCACCAGTCACTCAATCATTTAATTAAGAAGTGTGCCATGTGCCCATCCTCCATCTTGATAATCTGCTGTCAAGCCTAGTCAAGACTCCTTGACAAAGACAGAAATTCAGAATATGCGTGATGAAATGGGTCACTGTCCGGAAAAGGAGCCGCAACCGTGCTTGGTTCCAGCCTGCTATTGCCACACGCTTGCCTTCTTGTTGCACATGCTGTATTGCAAGAGAGAAAGAGCATTGAGTATGCTGATCTGCTGGCTAAAGATGTGCTGCGTGTAGTGCTGACATCAGGAGAAGAAGCGGAAAAAGACTGCGGAGTCCGAGCTTTGAGCCAAAGGTTGGTGCGTGAGCGGTCATGATGCGGAACCTGGCATGTTCCACCGGGGTATACCCAAAGAGTGTGTGTGAGCACGATCGACCGATCTGGAACAGAGCTGCTGAAGAGCAACAGCGGCTGCATACCATGGAGCTCACGCCTTTCCACATGACGGATGGAAGTGGCGACGGAGTAACACTGGTCAAGTCGATGAAAGGAGTGCAGGTAGACCGAACTAGAAAATCTGCAGCCTGCAACAACAGCTTGTTCTCCGTTGGCAAAAGGATGTGCTGCGGCAAGATCCTGTTGCGACACCTTAGCACGTGATAACTACTGCTGGGAGATGCCGCCTGCATCACCCTGTTGCCAAGTGCTGGTTGACTGAGAACTGCTTGGACGCCCAGGTCACGCGATATCCAGGCAGGGCGGCAAGATGGGGGCGGTCCACGGAACACTGTTAGATAGGTGGTAGAGGAGCTAGTTACGGAACTAGCTAGGAAGTGTGCATGGCTTCCTTTTGTTGGCTTCCTGTCCACCACATCCGCACATTTCAACATGGCAGCCTGGCAGTGCTCAGGACGATCCAAAGGAACATGTCCGTCTTGCAGGAGGCATCGTCAAACACAGTGATCCCACTGACTCACTGAAACCTGAATGGTGTGTTATCGCTTCGGGCGCAGGATCTGACAGTGACTGGAAGGTGTCTTCACTGTTCGCAGCTGCTCGGTTCAAAGGCTGAGTAGCTACTCGCATTGAGGGAGCAATGGGTCCACGGATCTCGGCCTTATGGCCGGCCGGTCTCCTTCTCGCTTCAGGGCTTTTCTTTGCTCCAGGATTCCTCAGCCCTAGCGGCGTCAGCAGTCCCAGCAGCGGCCGAGTGGGACAGCGTGGAGCGGCTTGGTCTTCGTCGACACCGCGCAGCTTTCAATCCTTTAGCTCGGGGGGCAGCCACACGGTACTGCTGGCTGCTGCATGCCTGGCAGCAAGCACGTGTCGTGTGTTCAGGCGTACGCAGGACAAACAGCTAGCACCCTGCCACGTGGGTCGCGTCACGGCGGTTGCCCCGCAGGAGAGGGATGCTTGAAAGCCACCGTGTTCCGGCCTTCGGGCAGTGAGAGTTGACTTATGATGAAAGCTGCAGTGTCTAGATGTGTCTAGCATCTGCAGGACCCGGTGGCTTCTGCGGCTTTCGCTGGTGCCTCTGCAGTTGACAAGGTTACCTCATCTCGGTCCAAGGTGGCACGGCGCAGCCTCTACAGCTGCTACACGCTCTACTTCCGTCGATGGAGGTATTATGAAGACCGTGCGCGTCGCAATCTTCGCAACCGCGCATACAACATTTTCATGAAGCCACTTGTATGATCTTGGCTGCTCCTGTCAAGAGCCATTTGTGTCAAGTCCCTCGAGGTTGACTGGTATCCACCCAACTCTAAGTTGGTGGTCTAACATGTCAGTGTGCTACAGCTGTATCATACCGATGTCAGGAACAAATACAAGAAAGCCATGAAGAAGGTGCTTCGTTATACCGTCGAGTTGATATATGGCATCTCGGCATAAGTATACTTATTGCGGAATTGCTTCGTGTGCCTTGGCGCAAGAAGTCAGCTTCCGTCTCGAACGATCAGGGGACAAACAGCCGGCCAGCCATCAAGAGGTCATGGATGAGGTCAAGGCACGGCCACTGGCTGTCGAGTCCGTGGGCAAGAAACAGAAACCCGTTCCAGGAGATGCTTGACGAGGCGTGCGAAGTGATTGACGAAGTGACGGTCCAAGGAGTTCTGCATCGCAACACGGCGGCCAAGCGCAAGGACTCTGCTCGTTCACGCCTCCTGGCTGATATGTGAGCCGCGAGTAGAGACCTGCAACTGAATGCAGGACCGCATGTTCCGCGCGATCCTGCGCGGATCAGAGAAAAAGGGCCTCATTACCCGTCCATCAGTCGAAGAGGATCCCCAGAATCGGTTCTTGCCTGCCTACAAGGTGCCACATTGGCCAAACAACATGTCTAAGAAACGCTGGCGTATTCCTGGGCTGTGCACTGCTTTTGTCAATTTGGCATGTCTTCGGGAACACCAGATCATTGGCTACGAGCTGCCCGAGTGCAACTACGTCCGGGAGCCTCGTCCTTGGCAACTGCCTGGCTGGAAATCTCCGTGGATGTTGAAGTGGGAGTGGGAGTGCCTTTGCTGCATCGGCAGCAGCGATGCGTGTTGCAGCTTGGCATTGCATGGTGCATTGCATTTCGCATGGAGCTCGTTTGGCAAGGAAGTGGAGGAGCGGGAGGGATTGGCAAGCAGTCGGCATTGAAGCCAACAATCGCGAAAAGATCATGTTGCTTGCAGGAAGCTCACCGGCCGGAAGTGAGCCACTTGAGGGGCCTAGACCAGAGCGTTTTCGGGCGAATGCCCTTGGCTGGCATGAAACCAAGCGAGGTGCATGAGGACCTGTCAGTCTTCTTGCACCGGCAGTCGGTTTTAGCCAACTCGCTTTGCCAGGCGGAGCACCTCCAAATGCTGGCAGAGCTCTTCAACTCCGCGAGCATGACAGGCGAGACCCACTTGGGAAAAGAGGGAGCACATGTGGCGTTGCTGTCCGAGGCAGAGTCTCTTTGCATTTATCCGACACGCGGCTCCTTCGACTGCTCCAGGAGGCCCACCAAGCACGAGTCGTGAGAGCGTAAGCCTCATAAGCTCGCAGCGAGTAGTGTCTCGAGGTCGCATATCTCCGAGCTTCACGTGAGGCACGTGCCGAACGGCATCACGACGTTTGAATTGGCCATGGCAGCTGTGAGAGACAACCGGTGAGAGGGTACAGGAGGGTACCACTGACTGGCCACTCCAACAAGCAAGAAATTCGTAGCCTCATGAGACTGAGATGGTTTGCTCTGTGCCAGAGGTTCATACTGGCTTCCAGCTCAGCTGCCTCGACTTCGGAATGCCGGTTGCGATGAGAGCAAGTGGCCATAGGCGTTTGCCACGTGCCAGAGCCGTACGGTGACACCGATCTTTCGTTGAATTTGGCCGACTACGTCTACTAAGTGGCCTCGCACGTACAAGTGAAACTGCCTTGAAGACAGTGCTTCATATTCTAGCTTGAAAGGCCGTTGAGGCCATCTGACTGTAATGTACGGCTCACAAGGGAGTGGACCTCAGGTTCAGCCAAGAAGACCGCACTGCCCGGTGCTGGAAAGGCGCTGCCATGCTCTCACCACGTGTTTCGCAGCTGAGCGCGCAAGCAACTCCTGCGCCGCTTGTGCCGTGGAGAGAGAGAGAGCGCGGCAGCACACTCAAGGAAGCTTGAGAGTGTGTCGATGCAGCTAGCAGCTAGCACTCCTTTCGGAGGTGCCTCAGCTAGATGACCGCGCAGGCAGCCACGAACTTGGCTTTCAATTTCATGTGCCATCCTCTCAGTCACCATTGCTATCAGCTATCGTCTTGGAGGCACAGGAGAGCGACTTCGCACGCGGCTGTTGGAGGCCTTGGCTGAGACGACGCAGGACTTGGGAACCAGGCCCCGTCCTGCTTGGCAGGCGCTGAAGGTCATGGCCACAGGCACCCCGGCATCAAGGCCGTCACGGTGATCTTGCTGCTCTTGCGTGCATGACCCAGGAGAGAGGCACCCCAGCAGCCAAAGTGGCCTGTCAGCTCAGACAGTGGCAGTGCCGCACAGCACGTCTGGCATCTCGGGTTCGTGTACCTAAGGCAGCAGCAGCGGGAATGCCTCGCATGCGGGAGTCTTACACCTTCCGACGGGCCGCAATGGATGAGACTTGTGTGAGTGCAGAAGCCACCCACCCCTGCCTTCAGTCACTGCAAGACTTGATTGTAGCTAAAACATGCTAAATGCTTGGACGATGGTCGAATCGCGAGTCGCGCAGGCTACTGTACTAATTTATATATGATATGATATTATAATATACTTAGTATACCATGGTATGTTATGGAGCAAAAAAAGGTGAACTCGAGCTCGGTCTCGGCTTGGACAGCTCCAGCGGTACCCCACGCTGCACTCGAGCGAGCGGCCGCAGAACTGGCGGCGCTCTTGGCAGGTGCCCAAAATTGCTCAAAGACTGCGAGGGTTTTCGGTGAACTCCTACTCTGCAGGCGCGACGGGGTCGCAGGAGGTTCCAAAACCGCCATCTGCTTTCCTGAGCGAGGCGGGATGCGAGAGGGACCAGGGCACAGCGAAAGCAGACCCATTCCCCGCGCTTTTGAAGATATGTGAAGTTCAGTCCAGGTGGAGGAGTTGTATGCAGCCTGGTAGCAGGAGAAGCTTCAACGGCGTAGTGAGCTTTTGTGGAATGTTCTCATGCGCCCGAGGCAGTTTCCAGCGCCCCATTTGGTTCACCGAGCAGCTCTCAAACAGTGGGATCCTTATGCTCGCTGAGCCCAGCGTCCCAGAAAATGAGATGCCGTTGCTCGAGGTGCAGTCGGCAGGCGGCGGGCAGGAGCCCTGTCTTATGAGTCCTGCAGGGTTTCGCGGACTTGACAGGCAAGCCATCCGCCGAACCATATGCTGCAGCCGCGGAGGAGTTGAGTGAGGTTTTGCCCTCAATGTGCAGAATCTATACATTTGACCACCTGCAGAGAGTCGCGGGGCAACTTTCTGCCAGCGAGGTGCTGAGATCTCTGCGTGCTCTCGCTGCCTTCCCAGACCTCATTGTAGAGCCATTGCTGTGAGAAGATGTCCCTGGAGTCCTTGGTCTCCGCCAAGGATTCCGTCATCTCTGCGCAAACCACGTGGCGATCGATCTCCATAGAGCCCTACATGCCTGTGAATGCCATGTATGGACCCGGGCTTGTATTCAGTGTGAAAATGCCCATACCTGAGCACAAGCTTTGTGAATGAACTTGGAGCCGCGCCTTGAGCCTCCGACACGCCTGGGAAGTGTTGCTGGAAGGTATCCATTGGACAAAAAGGAGCCGACGATGGTCTGTGTCGGTGGTCGGGTGGACCACCTGGTGCAAAGCCCAGAAGCCACGTTCAAGCTGAAGGGCTTTCTGTTAGGGCTTGCTGTATAGGCTTGTATAGGGGGATTGTCTGCTGCGGCAGCGCCTGCGCAGGCGCGACACTTTGCCCTTCTACACACCACAAGCGGCTCAGACGCGGCGCTCGCCTCTGAGGCCTGGCCGGCCCGTGTTGGGGCTACCTGTATGGGGCTATACTACTATACTAAAGTACTAAAGGAGTCGGTTGCATGGCGATCGTGGTACCACTGGCACACATGAAGCTTTGTCTCCTGGTGTAAGCACACTCATCACATTTGCTCAGTCCTTCGCGCTGGGAGCCGCAGCAGGCAGTGGCTTTGCAAACGGGCTGCAACTTCGATCTCATACAAAACCTTTGACGATGTCCATTGTCATCAGTGTTCTCCATTACCACGACAGGCTCCGACGATCTGTGCGCAGTCTCTTCAGAACTTGCCATGGACAGACCTCTGCAGTTTCGTGTGCTCTTCTGAAGGGCGTGTTTTCGCACGTTTGGATGTGGATGGCTGCCGGCGCTAAACTTCATAAGTTAATAAGCGAAGACTCCAGCTCTTGCTTGGTGCTGGGTGGGGGGATGTGGGGGGCACATCTCTGCATGCCTTTGAAGTGGATGGGAGGACAAGCTTTCAAGCGGCTTGCTGCAGCTCGCGCAGGCAGTCCATCAACGCAGAAATGAATTGTTGGTTAAAGTTATGCAGTGGTTGATCCTGGTCCTGGCTAGTGCGTCTGCGCAGGGTGCAGGGAGCACCTCGAACTCCAAGCAGCTCTTCCCTCAGCTTTGAACGTCCCGGCGCCATGTTCCCTACTGACCTACTGCATGCTTGCATGTCGAAGTGGTGACGTGTTCCAGGGTTGCAGCGTTGGCTCTCTCAGCAAAAGATGGATTCCAGACAGCGCTGTGGCCGGCTACAGCGGCAATGTCGTTTGGCTTCCCCCTAGAGCTAACGGCGGAGCTGATGCGGGCACTGCTAACTGACGCCACTTCCTGCATGGCTGAGTTTCCACATGCAGATGCACGGAGTTGCAGGCGTGCTACCCAAAATCCATGCACATTAATGCCTTGGCATTTGGTTTCAGTGCTTTCCGGGTTTTATTTGGCACATGGAGATTGCAGATTTCTGGCAAAGGACAGCCTTTTCAAGAGTTGGATTGCGTCGATTGAGAGGCCAGGAAGTGTTCGTGTCGCGCGATTGAGCTGAGATTTGCAGGAACCCTGCAACAGTAACCTCCACTGAGCCCTCGGAGACAAAGCATTCAACTCTGATCCGTCACAGGTCTGGGCTTCAAGCGACACTCGGACTCTGTGGATTGTCTCTTTTTAAATCTTGCATGTACAAGCCCGAAACTGTGTCCGGATGCTTTCTCTCCTGGCTCAGCAAAGGCTAGCTGCTTTCACACAGACATGCGTCCGGAACAAGGATGCAGTTGCGCTGGCTGATCTGTGGTGTGCCCCACCGGCACATCGCCTGGACACAAGACCACACTATACTATGATATAATAAAATTCATGATATAATATAATATAGTATAACATGATATGATATGATATAATATGTTGTAATATAATATAACATATTATAGTATGATACAATATAATATAATACAATATAATATATTATTCGATAACTTAATATAAGATACTAATAACATGCAGACTTCATGTTCGTGCACTCTACGCTGCCGGAGGCAGGGCTGCAGACATCACCCTGTGGCCATCGGGCACGTTCGCTGGTGCAGCCCGGATGCACAGCTGCTTTGACAGATAATCGGATGACCATGGTCCGGGAGACACAGCCTGCACAAACACAATATAATTCAATATGATACGCAATGAATTTATTCACGTGGGCGGAGCCGCCGTGCACGAGGCAGAGGCATCGCGCCTTTCACTGGCGCGGAGGCTGCGCATCTCGGGTGCTGCCTGCCGCAACTCGGACGGACGGAAAGCAATTGGGGTTTATACAGATGTTTTAGACTACCTGTCTCCTGGGATCTGTGAGCTTCTCCTCTCTCAGGGTCTAGTGCTCGTACAAATTAATGCTACTCCAGTAAGATCACTGCTACTGCGACGGGGAGGACAACGACTGATACTGCAACTGCCATTTACTGCTGCTGCCACTACTTCTACTACCTCTGCTTCTACTACTACGGCTGCTGCTTCGAAAAATACTGCCAATGCTGCTGGGCTTTCACGGCTGCCAGATACCTATGGCCGACTTCTCGCTACTAGGCGCCATACTACTCATGTCACAAATTCTGTTCGTTTTGCTTGCTACATGGTTAGCCAGTGAGTGCACATCGCATCACATCGCCCCTCACGCGTGGATTCGGGAGGGTGCCAAAAGGTATTTCAAGTAGCGATTTAAATTTCAGTCTGGAGCAGTCGTGAATGGACTCCAGGGGAGGGGGGCGGGGGGCAAAACAAAGAGCGTACCTTTTACCCCCTCGCTGATACCTTGCAAACATGTAGGATAGTAACCCTTTCATGCCACTTGGTGCTCCGTTGTACAGCCAGGCATACGAAGTGGAACAAGGACAGGTGCCCCTGAGGCTTCTAATTGGTTTGATATCACCAGAAATCGTCACTATCGGCTCATCGATGTGCAACAAGGGCTGGGCTTTGCTCTGCAATGCCGTCGCTGTGAACGCTTCTTGCGAAACCGCGGGGTGCTGCGAGCATTTGAGGCCTTTACCTCCGGAACACGAAAGGAATTCTAGATTAACTTATCAAGCCGCAGTCGCCGAATGGCAAACCGGTTTCAACATTTTCGATTTGGTGGTTTTGGCATATGCACAGGTCTCCCAGTGTTTGCAACCCAGCAAGCACAGCATCTGATGTCAGGCTACCTCAGCATCAATTGCATGGTGCTCCAATCGGGTGTGAACTGTCTGCAAAAGGCTGGGTGGGCCATGGCCCAGGCACAGATGTGGCAGGTAGAGCGGATTGCGTGGAGGGTGCATCATTGGTGTTGAGCCTTCAGAAGCTCTAGCAGACTAGCAAGGCCGAGCTGCGAAGAGACTCACAACCTAGGAGCCAACATGTGCATGTAACGACGATATGTATTGAGACTGTTGTGCACAGCTTGCATCGTTGACCCCCCTCCCACCCCTGACCTGTTCGATCATCAGCCAGTAAGGATTTGAACTGGCTTTCAGCGTGTTGTCGTGCTGTGGAGATGCTGCAGCTGCGGCAGCTTGGCATGCTTGGCTTCGGTTGCCGCCTTCAGGAATCTTTCTGTGACTGGTGCCACAGGTGGCTGGGCCCGGAGATGAGCATCGAAGCAGCATGGCTAAGTACCTGGGCGCTGTCTCTCAGGTTGCCACTCGCATGCGAGAGAGCTATGGCAGTTCTAGACAGTTTTGTGGAAGTCTGGGTTTGTTGATCAGGGTTGTCGTGGCAGATTGCTAAACCCAACAGTAACAAACATACACCCGGCAAGCGCGTGGCCTCAACGAAGCCTTGCACCAGGTACAGGATGTACAGGTCGGGCCAAAGGTTTCCCAAGCCATTACCGAATGCTCAGGCTTAGGGCTCCCACAGAAGGGACTTGTGCGAAGCGTTGAATGTATCAGAAAATCGCAGCTGTTGTTGTGTATTCCAACGAGGCGTGATGAGGCGTGCTTAACCCCCCGATCGCACGTGGCCGGGAGCACTCATGCCTACTCGTTGCTGAGGTTGACGGTGCAGTTCTGGTACGACGATTGCCTGGGCTCTCCTCCGGTCATGGAGGCACTTTGCCCAGAAGCTTTTGCGAGTAGTGCATGTAGCCGTTGATTCACTGTTGAGCCTGCCTTGATTTGCAGGTGACGTGCCTGATCCTCGAGACTTGCCAAGCACTGGAGGTGCCTGCTGCACATGCTGATTGTAAGTGCTCCTGCAGTGCAGCCCCAAATCCATGCGTGGCTGGGTCAAGGTTGAACCCCGGACATGAGTTGGAAGACTAGTTATGTCAAGAGTTGAACTGAGTGCAGATGCTGGCCAACACTATTGGCCAGGACCTGTGCATCACCGGCATCGACTGGCCCAGGGCAAAGCTTGCGATTCTTCGGGCTTTGCAAACCCTGGAGTGCTTTGGTGTAGTTGGAGCCGCACACCTGCCACCTGCACACCTGTGATATCTGAGATCTGAGGAAGCGGCCGCTACTGAAAAGGCTCTCGCTGGAAGGCTCGCAAACGTGGCATGAGGACGCATCTCAGCCACGACCAGGATCTGGCTAGAATACGCCAGAAATATACAGAAATGCTCGAGTCAGCTGAGGAACTTCGGATGATCAAAGCCATGATTCCACGGGTTGACGTGACCATCCTGGCTGACCGCACCCGCTGACACCACCAAGTTGCAACAGTCTCATCCATGACCTGGACCAGAATCGCTGCAAGCTATGTGCGGAAGAACCGCGAGCTCCCTCCCACAGCTGAGAATCAGTTCCGCGTGACCGGAAAGGACGAGCAAGCTGAAGCAGCAGTTCCTGACGATGCGAAACACAGCCCGGACTCACGGAGGAGATTACACTTGCTGAGACATAATGCAACGTGAGCAAAGGGAGCAGACTGCTTGTTGAGTTTCACTGCACTGCCTAGTCTCGCTGGGGCATGAACCGTTGATCCGATGGCGGTGAACGATTGAGCTTGAAAAGCTGCATCGGCCGCTCCCTTGTTTGATCGAGTGACCCAACCTACTAGCGCCATCAAAAGTCCCAGTCCGACCATCTGCATGTTGATCAATCGCTCTGTGCCTGCCAGAAGAAGCGCTGCACAAGAAAGCTGCTTCTTTCAGATGCCAGACTCTGAATGCTGCAACAGGCGTGGCAAGAGCTCACTGCCAGCTGGAGCCCAAGAGGGGACCGTTCAAGAGCCGGAGTTCCGTCAAGTTTCCTCGGATGGCATGACGTACCCTGATGTCACGTCTTGTTTTAGGTGACTTCGTCTGCAAGCGTCCTGGCTCAAGTGGCGCTAGTCGTCGCAACAATGTGGGCACGCTTTCACCGCAGAGCATGTGCGGCGCTGCTGAAACTGCAGCCGCCTCCCCACAGACAGGTGGGCGCTTGCACTCGCAGACCCGGGCACGCCATCCGTTCGTTGCCAGGGCCTGCTTCCACTCCTGGCGCTCGGTGCTGGGACTGGTGTGCTGGTGTTGAAAAGACCTGCGAGCTCACCTTGCAGCTCGGTCGTCACAGCCTCACGAGGCTTTGCAGAAGTGAAAGTGTGCAACCGTTTGGTTGTGTTCTCTCTCTGGTGCCATCGCTCATAAATTAACATGCTTTTCTGCTTTAGGCACACTTTACTGTCACACGGACTGAGGTGCCGCAGAGCAGCAGAAGGTGGCATTGATAACAGGAAGCTCCACTGGCATTGGGAAGGCCGGTGCAGACATCAGCAGACCCGAGCCAGAATCCCGATGCGTTGGCCCGGTGGGATGAGATGTGGTCGCTGTTGAGATGTGTGCTCGTACTTACTTTCAGTGTTCTTGGTACTAAGCCTTTCTCGTGTCATTTTTTGCATATCGTCTAAGGGTTGTCAGCTCTGTGAACCGACGGAGGCAGTGGCCCAGCGCCTTGCTGCCGAAGGCTATCGGGTGGTGGTGAACAGCGGGGGGCCAAGAGTCCAAGGGACCAGCAAGGGATTTCGACCAGCTCCGGGATGACAGCCATCAGCCCAGCCAAGGCCACAGCACGCTGGAAGAAGGGACAGCTTTAGCATCTACCCTTCCAGGAGGAATGTATATACAGGCAGACTGCAGCAAACGAGAGGGCTGCGAAGGCCTGGTCGAAGAGGTTCTCAAGCGATGCGGGCGACTGGATCTCTTAGTCTGCACCTTGGCCGCCTTGGCCGTAGAGGTGGAGTGTGGTCAGCTTTCCCACTTCAGCTTCGCCGCCGCCAGGCAATGCCGGCCTGGGGAAGGTCATACCGCACGGGAATCTGGAGCTAATCGATGATGAGTGCCTCAGACGCTATTCATCTGATTCATGTGCATAATCTTTGACGCATCTTTAAAGGGGCATGGTGTGCACGCTTGCCGTCCGGGTCAAAAGGCTCAAGACCTTCAATGCGTGAACCGTTAAAGATGAAGCAGAGCGCGCCCGTCGTTCCTGAGCCATGCTCCGATCCCGAGGAGTTGCCAGACATTGAAGCAGCAGGACTCGGATCCAAACCTGAGGTTCTTGGGGCGTCAGGGCTCGACTCTTCCCTCAACTCAGGGGCGCCGGGCAAGGAGGCGGTGAGCGACATCAGCATGATCAGGCAGCTGCTGAGTCGAAAGGTCACATGGGTGCTGGTGACAGCACTGACATTGTGCCTTTGCTATGCCCTCGCACGTCCCGTCCTATGTTCAGACATTGAAAAGTGCCAGCTGCACCACGACGATGCTGCAGACTTGATTCCATACAGCCGCTACATTGCATCAGCTTTGTCTGCGGTCTTGCTGCACGAGCTTGTCTCCGTCATTCTTACGCATCGGACGGCCAAGAAAGCGATTCACCTCATTCCGAACATCAGGGAATCCCTTCTCCCGTCTGCACTTCTCTGCACCACGTTTGCCGTGCTTCTTGCTGAGAACGCCGCGTTTCTGATAGGGGACACAGCTTGGTTTGCACATGCAGCTTCAGTTGGCGATGCTGACTTGGACGGCTTGCCGGTGTACAGCGTCTTCTATGCTGAGTGGCTGATCAACGTTCCAATTCTGCTTATCCTGGCCGGGACGTGTGCACTTAGCCGTCCAGCACCAGAAGTATCTGAGCCTCTGGTTATCACAAACGTCTACATGATCCTTGCTTGGTGCGCAAACTTCATCTCCAGCACGCCTGTCCGATACTGTGTAGTTTGTGTGCCTTGGCTGCTCTTAGCTGTATCCTTCTGGGAGTGCACGAGCAGAGGACTTGTGCAGCAAGCGGAGATCAAACTCGAAACCACTTGCAATGAGCTTCGCCAGCAAAGGCATCTTTCCTCATGTACTTCTGGGCTTCTCGCGACATGATTCTATGGGTTCTACGCTGGAAGAAAGAGAACCCCGAAGGTGGCCCAGCTACTCACAGACTGACCTCGGTTGCACTTTTCGGTTCTCATCTAAATCAGGATTGATGTTCTTTCCATGGGCTTCTGAGCGCATTGCATTCGCCGAGGTCATGTCTTCGGGCGTCCTCTCTTGGCCATCTCTCTGATCGTCGTTTTCGGAATCTATGGGATGGTGTACTTGGGAAGACTACATGGCATAGTCCCTTGGGTTGGCGAGCGAATGTTTTTCCTCGTCATGAACTTCACAACGAAGCTTTTTGCCTCCATGGCGCTTGCAGGAATTCGTTCCAGTGAATTTCAAGAAGTTTTGTTGAACATGCTGGCGAACACACAAACGTCCTTCAAAAGGGCCCTCAATTACGAGGATGTCCCTCTCCTGCGCGACTAGCAGAGTTCCTCAGGGGATGTAAAGTTTCAGTCCGCATGTGCAGCCTATGCCTGCAATGAGCTAGCAGCCCACAGTTTGAAGACTTTGTAGACACTCATGCAATCCGGAGATTTCAGGGAGCTGGACATTGTAAGTGGTGCAAAGTCTGAGGTTTACCACAGGCAGCTTGGCCAGCGTAATGGGAAGCTACCCAAATACTCAACACAAGAAAGGGCTCCAATAGATGATGGAGATAGAACAGCTACACCTTTGTGTATTTGGGTGTTATGCGCCTTGAGGTTGCTCAGACTTTCCTGTCTTTCCCCAACAGACACTGCAATGTCTTTCAGCCTGCTTCTGTTTCTCGATCTAACAGCGCTGCACAACGTCAGCGTTTACCGTTGCAAGTGGGAGTTTCAGAAGACGAAGGACCCGAAATTAGAGCCCTAAGCAAGTAGTCGGATGCTTCCCCCCCCCAAAAGAGAACCCTACGTCCGAGAAACTTCCAAGAGCCGACCAAACCGCCTCGCCAAAGGCGAGACTTGCTTTTTTAAAGGTGGAGCGAGCCTAAATAGGTTGAGCCCCGTAGTGGCTGTCAGACGGTGGACCGTCTCTTAGTGGAAACAGCGCTGGCCGCAGAGCTGGTAATTCCCCACCGGCGGGGGGGGGGGGGGGGCCTTGGGGTAGCATTGTGGGGTCCTGGCGATAAAGTGTAAAGAGAGCTGATTGAGGCCTGCCCGCGGCGTGCGCGCAATTCCGGCTCCCGCGTCCCATGACTTGCAGCACATGCTGCAGATCCGTTCCCGGTGTTCTATCATTATACAATACACAAGCACAGGATGGCGCGCGCGTCTCCAGCTGTGGTGCGGTGCATGAGTTTGGCGGGCGTCCCAATTAATGTTGACAGAGGATTGTGCGTCCTGCACGTGCCCCGAGGCCCCAGGATTCGCTGAAAACACTCTAATCACATGGACAACTCTTGGCTGTCGACAACTTTGAATCACAGCAGTACAAGTGGGAAACGAATCCGGGTGTTCCTTTGAATCCCGCTAGCCAAGGGGCAGAAGCATAAGTCTCGTGCTCCCCAAACGCGCCGGCATTTGGAGGAAAGCGATTCCGCAGTGCTCTCGAATGTTTCTTAGTCCCGCCAGAACTTGGGGGATACTCTCCCCGGTGTCCTGTTTCCTGGTGTTGTCCTGCTGGTCTCCTGCTGGCCTCCCGCTGGTCCTGGTGGTTTCTTGGTGCTCTTTTGGTGGTCTCTTCGTGGTTTCCTGGTGTCGTGGTCATGCTGGCTGGTCTCTCGCTGGTCTCCTGGTTGCCTGACAGCAGTCTCCTGGGGGTCTCCTGGTCCTGGTCGTGGGAACATCGTCTTTCACCGGATCTCCGCTTGCACACTTTGTTATGGATCTTGCTGTGGAGGGACTTGGTCTTACAAGACTATTGGGAAGAGGGGAATGCCATTGTCTTCCATGCTGTCGTCGAGCCTCCGGGGATTGCGGACCTCGCGGATTTGCCAGCGCCGCACGAGGTATCTTCACAAGATTTTTGTGCAAGCCTCGGTCACGCGAGTTTGAGCAAGAGCAGAGACCGGAAGAGGTCTAAGGTGCATGTGTCGTCAGAGACACAGCGGCCTCACGAGCTCTATGTCCGAGGCCCTCAATTGCTTCGGACCTCTTTGGCTGAGTCGTGCTGCTGCTGGCTTGCATTGGTTTCACCGGTTGGGGCTTCAGCAGGACAATGTGGGTTTGCAACATGAGGGTATGTAAAATCCCCACGGGAGGTGGCAAGGGAAGATCCCAGGAAGAAAGCCTCTTTGAGGCGTCTTGCCGACTAAATCAGTCAGTTAGTCTTAACAATCAAGCGGTAGTTTCTTTCCTGTATACATTTCCCGTCAAAGCTGCAAGTCGGCAGTAGTGGCTGGTGCTATGGGAGCAGAAGCTTCAGAAAGATGCCCGCATGCATGTTTAACCTCCACGTACAGGCTATGCCTTTCCTCAAAAAGGGAAATGGCTCGATCGTGATGATCGGGTCCGTCGCTGGAGTTCGACCTGTCGGCAGCAGTGTCCCATACAGCACCAGGGCTAAATCAGTCCGGCCGGTCGTAGGCTTTTCAACTTCTATCTAGAGACCAGCTTTCCTCCACAGGCATGACAAGAGCTGTCGATGGCTTAGTTGTTTGGCCACGACTCACGGCAATCAGGCCTTGTCATCCATTGTGGATTACGCTGAATGCTGGAGGCCATGCATCAACTCACACGGCTGTTGGCAAAAAGCTGCGGGCCGGTACGGGTCAACTGCGTCGCACCGGGCCTTATTGAAACCAGGATAACTGCTGGGAGCGACACTCTGCCTGCAGCGTGGGAGTATGTCCGGGCTGGAGAAGTCTTTTGGGTATCACGTGAGTGATCATGCAAGGAGTGGGACGGAAGCTACGAAGCAGTGAAACGAATGGCACCTATGAAGCGGGTCGGGAAGCCAGACGCTTGGTAACATTAGTGTGTGACCAGCCGACATGGCGGTTGATGAGTTGTGTTGAAGTTTGAAGGGGTATTTTCAGTGGCTTGCATTGCATGGGAGTTTGCTTTACACAAGCCATGTGCAAAAAGTGGTCTGCCACAGGTGTGACAGTATGCATCCCCATTGCTCATGCCAGGATGACCTGACAGATGCGGTTGTTTGTTGCATCCGCTCCGAGACACTTGGACATACTTAGGTCAACATGTCGTCGGAATTGTGCATTGGTCTGACTCATGGCGGCTCTGTCTTTCACTCGCTCTCTCTCTCGCTCTCTCTCTCTCTCTCTCTCTCTCTCTCTCTCTCTCTGCCCGTCTTACATCTTGAGTCTCATATTATGCAACAGTTGACAGCAAGTGAGTGCATGGCAGGCAATCCCTCCCAGATGCTGCATGAGTCTGTAGTCGCAGTCGAGGTACATGACAGGCCAAGTTATCTGCGTTGATGGAGGGTCAAGTTTGGTATTCTGATGGATAGAAGAGGCTCTTACGGCCTCCACCTACCCATCATGCTTTAAATTGCTAACAAGCGACACGGCCGAGACTCACCCACAAGTGGTGGACAGAGACAAGGCCAACCACGGGAGGAGAAAGCGAGGGAGTACGCTGTTGCACTACGGCTGCGCCAGAGGTGTTTGCAGGAAGAGTAATTTTACATACCCGGACCACCATTGTGAGTTTGCTAGGCCTTCGTTCCATGGTGGCGTCAGGCTGGCCGTCAGGCTGCCTGCTACATCCCCGGCCCGTGTGGTTTGCATAGCAACTGGGGCATGGCCAGAGTTGAGGAGCACGAGAGCTCAGGTTGGCCAAGCATTCTTCTAGGCCCAGCTTCCGGCGAGGATGGTAGGCTCGGGCTGACGGCCATCGATGTGACAGCCGTACCTCAGCCACTGTCAACGTGAGTGCACCTGGAATTCTTGCATCAGCATGCCGAGATCCTGCAGGCTCCAAGCCTTCCAGCAGGCCGCGGACGCCAATTCCTTGCAGCTGCAGGTTGAGGTGCATCGCTATCTGCGTTGATGCCGCTCTCTCGTTATAGAGCTGGGATGTCGGCGTAATCAGCTGTTGCTGCCACGGGAGGGGGCCGCATGTCACAAGGCAGAGGAAGCCAGGGTTAGTGCCGATATGCGACAGCACATCCATCAACAACTCAACGGCGGCTGCAGCTGCAGCAACCAATATCCTGCATGCAGGTTCTCATCTCACGTGAAAAAATTCACGAGCAGGGGATTACTGTGGGAAGATATGCTCGAACTGCTGGCAACTTGCTGGTCAGGCCCTGCATGTTCACTCCTCAGATTTCTGGAAAGCTGCACTGCAAGCTTCAATGCATGTGCCGGTTGGAGACCGAGGCAGCTGCGGGCCTGCGCCGACTGGGAGCAAGCTGCCAGCTCTGGTGGTCCCCCCAAACTTGGGGCTCTGCAAAGAGATGGCAGACGATCAGTTCGCACCGTTGCCCTGCGACTACGGCAACTAGTGAGGCCACCGGGGGCCGGGATGATCGATGCCCGAGTCGTGCGGGACTTGGAGTGTCGCGGGCTCCTTCAATTCAACAGCCCTCCGAACTCTCGCACTTTTGCTCGGCTGGTGGTTGACAGCCGGCGAGAACTTCCACGCATGTGCTCATGCAGACGAGGCAAGCAGTGACGACGATATGAACAGATGCAGCAATGGCAGCGACTGCGGGCCAGAACAGGAGCAAGAAGACTGATGTAACACTACGAACATGTGCGGCACAGGCGTTGGTCGCATAGTCACTGCCACCAGTGCCACCAGCACATCGGCAACGGCGCAACGATGCCCCGTCCCGCCGGCGCTGTCACCACCGCAGCAACAATAGCAACAGGATTCGAAGTAGCCACGTCTGGCATCAACGAGAAGAGCAACGGCAAAAACCGCGAACGGCAACAGCAGGAAACAGAGCAAAACCACGCAAAATTTGTGGAACAACTCAGTTGCTTGGGAGCTGAAATCCGCTTAATGTTCTGTCGGTAGCACGAATCTACCTACCCTGCAAAGCCGCGGTAGCTTTCTGCAGTGGATGGAAACCGATTGGCGATCGCTTAGGACGAGGCGTGGGGCGCGTTGCACACCTTTGTCGTGGCAGTTAGATCTTTTGACCTGACATCTAACCTCATCTGATCTCATCCGTCCTCGATGCGTTCGACAGTTCATGCTGCGATACTCGCAAACATTTACGACATTGCCGATGCTCTCAACGGTCCTTGTGCTTCCCGGGCGTGCGCACATCAGTCCCAGGAACCTGCTCATGCCAGCAGCCCCCAATCGACTAACCAACGATATGTTGTACGACTGATGCGGCAAAGGTCTGTAGTATGCAGCACGGTGGGGGGGGCGGGGGGCAGCCTCACCCCGCAACCAGTCGGGGCGTCCAGCTGCGCGTGGTTTCACTCAATGGCGGCTTCAAGCTGGGCGAATTGAAGCTACTAATTTCTGAACCATTCGAAGTGATGTTTGCGTGGTAGAGACGAACTCAAACCGGTGAAGAGAACCGCCAGTCTCGCATACATTCATGGCAGCATCCGTTTTCGAAAGCATCGTGGATGCAGTGCAGGCATTTGCTAGAGTCTGCTAGAGGCACAGAGAACAACTCGTACAGCTTCATCTTTTTAGATGGTGATTAGATGTGTTTAGCCTGTCACGACGAAAAGATACATGGACAAGTGCTCAAATCATGCGTTTACACTGCGTTCAGCTCAGAACCTAGACGGAAATGTACAGTTTCATCGTGTTGTCCCCGCGATCATAGACCTGTTTTAAGGGGGAGGAGTTGGTATTCTGCATTCGGGGTGGACCTGAATGCTTGCGTTTAGATGGGAGAAGACCCGAAGCAAGCGTTTAGCCATGAATCTGAAATCTTGCGTTTAGATGAGGGGAAGAGGTCGACGCCACGATGTAGCCAATTTAGCCATGACTTTAGCATTTGCGGCTGCATGCCGACTAGGCTAGATACCAGAGATATGCAGGCAGACACTTCAGGCACAAGTGCACACGAGAGAGCGAGAATGTGCCTGTGCTGGAAAAGAGGGAGGGGATGAACTTCTCTTGAAACCGCCTGAAGAAGGGGGAAGTTCAGGTGTCAGAGATGCAACAGAACGTGGCCTCCTACGCCTTGGAGGGTGTATGCGGGTCAATGTCTCAGCTCCCCAGATTCTGCAGGCTTTCACGGTTTTCAGGCTCAGCTGCCAGAATGCTTATGTTGACACTTGGAGAAACATGACGGGACAGGAGATTGGGATCTCAAGTGCTTTCTAGGAGCTTTGGTACTCTCTTCATGCCCTGGACCCTGTGCACCAAGACTGACGCGCTCTGCACGCTTAGGCCACATGATTTCATCGTGACCCTCGTTCTACAAAGGCAAGAAATTGACACTCCGTCTGCTCGCTCCTGCGAACAGCAATAGTCGCTGTTGTCAGCGGTCACCCATCATAGTTCGCAGCTTGCACGGCGGCATCAGTCTCTTGGGTCGCGCTCTCGCAGGAAAGAGGAGAGGAAAGCCGAGGAGGATGATTCTGCGAAGAAGGACGGCAGAAAAGCTGAGGACGACGAAGATGAGTCGACAAAACGAGTGGTCGTTGTCGGCACGAGGCTAGGGATCACAATCGATTGCGGGTCTGACTATTCGTCACACCTAGCTCAGTTCTGCAGGTTCTTCTTGCGAGCGCTTTCCGATCAAGGCCCGACCGGAATAGCTATGGGAAACTGAAGACGCTGAAAACTCTCTTTCGGACATTTTCTGTACTTTTGTCGCAGTTGCGCGGCTGGGGGTGGCGGCGGCTGTAGTGGTGTTGGTGCTGGTGTGTGTGGTGACGGTGACGGTGCTTGTAGTCGTCACTTCAAAAGCGCCGCCCGGATGGTGGAGTTTTGCCCAGAATTGGAAAGCCAACAGGCTAAACCCAGGCTGCATGGTATACAACGGGCGTACAGGACCCCATGCGAACTTGAAGGGCAGTCAGCAGCTTCACTTGTGTCCACGTCAGGTCATGAAGCCATGGAGCGTGCAGCGAAGGAGCGTGTACACAGCCTATGCCGAGATGTCTGTTGCGTCGCTCAGCAGGATGCAGGCGGTAGCAGCCGCTCCTTTGATAGTCGTCAAAGGCAGGGCCTGGAGTCGATGCTTTAAAGGCTTTGCCGACACAGCCGAGAGCGAGCTCTTTCGGTCCGCTTCGCGGTTTCGCGTGCTCAGTCTCTTGGAGTTCTTCGAGCGCCTGTCGCGACGACATGCCGCCAATGCATCGCGCGGCAGCCTCGAGGGTAATAGCTACACATTTGACATCCACTGCCTTTTGCACCGCCCGCAGCAGAGGCGTCTGGGCATCCAACTGAGCTTTCCCCGGTACAGTGGACCGCTTTGGTCCGCCATGCAAGCTTGATGGCACTTGCCTTAAAGCAGTGCCAGCAGGTCCCTGGACCAGTGGCTCTGCTACTCTCTCTCTGTTTGGCACAAAACCTGTACAGCTACACATGCTTTTTTTGCGGTCACCTGGCAGCAGCTGGAATGCCTTGATGCCTTCCGTTTTCCCGGCCGCAATCGCCAAGAGAATTGCTGAACAACAGCAGGTGTACAGAAATCGAGTTGCAGGAGCAAAGGAGAGTTCACAGGCATGCCAGCACACCATGCCACCATGCCTTTGGTTTCAGAATCACCTGCGCAGTTCCAGTTTAGTTGGCAGTCTTCCTCGCAGCCGAGACGGGCCCCTGGACCGTGGCAATGGCTAGATCGCAAGGACGGCTGTGGCCTGGCGTGGCGCGATGGAGTGATTCCGAAGATAGAGACCCGAGCTGGGAAGTGAGCCCGTGCTGAGCCTGCGCCGACGTGGAACCCTTCTGCACCTCACCAGAATGATGCCAGCAAGTGTGTTGAACTTCTGGGTGAGCCCTTCGGTTCCATGTACTTGGAAGTCTTGGAAGCCGCAGGCGTGCAGTTACGAGGAGGTAAGCTGTGGGGGCTGGCTGGGGCCATCTCCCGACTAGGCAAAGCGGGTGAATGGGATGCTGCCTTGCAGCTGCTGCACAGCTCTGACTACCTGGCCAAGACCAAAGATAAGGCCTATCGGCCGGACACGGCTGCATTCAATGCTGGCATGAAGATTTTGGGCAAGCTCGGCAGATGGAGACAAGTGGTGGCGACCCTGGCATGCATGCAACATATGCTCACTCGACCGAGCATCGTTACTATGGGCACTGTCGTGAACAGTTTAGTTGAAGCTGCGAGGAATCGAGCAGGCGAGGCTTGGCTCCGAGCTTCGGCCGTTGTGGCAGATGCGAAACACACGACTCCTGGGACTGGCGTAGTGCTGATGAACACATTGCTGGCTGCTAGCAGCGCTGATGCCCGCTGGCAGATAAGCATGCAGATCCTGCAATCGGCAGTGTGGCAGTCAGCTGAGACAGACATCATTTCCTGGAACTCAGCAATGGCAGCTTCAAGGAGCGAGTGGAAGACCGGCCTGCACTGCCTTGCAGCCCTGCGGCTGCAAGCTTTGGTTGCTGATGGCATCTCCTTCAGCTCTGCGGCCCAGTGTTGTGCAGGTGAGCTGCAATGGCAACAGATGCTCTTCTTGATGGGAGGTCCGTTTCAAGTCAGCACGTCAGGCATCAACGCAGGCATGACAGGCCTTTCTCGAAGAAGCTGCTGGCAGCAGGCAACGGACATCAGGGAGCAGCAAGCCCTGGGTATCTAGGTCGTGTAGACAGGATTGTGTGGTCACAGTTTGGCAGTTTGGAGTTGTTTTCGTGCCAATGCCTGCGAAGGTCCTCCATGCATTTGGCCAGCTCAAGTCTGGGTTATTCGGCTTACGAGCAGATTCAATTTCAGTGGGAGTGAGCATCGATGCACTTCAGACCTCCAAGCTTTGGCTCCGAGCGTTGGACGCTGGCTTGTCTTCGGAGGCATGTGGCCTTCAGCCAGACGTGGCCACCTGGAACAGGATTTGCACAAGCAGTGGTTCCATGAGCTGGCATCATGCCTTTGTCGTGCTCGAAACCTTCCAGGGCAAGCTCCTAGAAAGCGATGCCGCGACGTACTCCTCTCTGTCTTCAGTCTGTAGCAACACCCACGGCTGGAGAGAGTCTCTGTCAGTACTGGCGAAGTCTGGCACGATGAAGCACGTGGCGAACAAAATTCGCTTGGATGATTTGCTGTTGCCAGTGGTTTCTCTTGGAGCTTGTGTCAAGGCTTCCAACTGGGAAGGCGCCCTTGGACTCGCAGCTTGTCGGCTTCTGAAGTCACAATGGCAATCGGGCCATCTGATCGCTGCTTTGGTGTCCTTGACGGAAGGCCAAAGCAAGGTCTCCCAGTGGGAGGCCTCCATTCAGCTTTTGGAGCAAGATGCCTGGCAAGGAGGCAAGCCTTCCCTGCATGTTTTTAGTGCTGCAGCGAGCAGCAGCCGGCACCTCAGAACTCCGACGCAATGCCTGAAACCTCCGCCTTTTGAGGCAAAAAAGGGGTCTCTCTAATCTGATGAAATCAGAACCAGAAAGAACCAGTCCCGACCCTTATCCGACGAATATCTGCACTTGTAACAGAGAGAGTTCAGCTCCGAGGTCTTGAGCCGAGCTCCTGGCGTGCATCTCTGGCTCTCCTTGGATCAACTCGGTCTCGGTCCTTGCAGGGAGACACCGTCTGCCAGAACTCTGTTGCTGCCAGCTGTGGGGCCGCCATGCAGTGGGTGGCTGCGGTGTCTCTTTCCAGTGAGCTCCTGCAGGTCGGCCTTCAAAGCAGCGAAGTCACTCACGGAGTGCTTCTGTCAAGTTGCGAGGACTGGCGAACGGCGTTGCACTGTGTCCAACAGGTGCCCCTGCCCCACCTATCGAGCGCTATGCTGGGTGCTGCGATCAGCACATACAGCAGCGGAATGCGTTGGATGGAAGCGTGGAGTCTGCTCAAAGACACGGACTTTGCGAAGCGATCCTTTGATCGCTGGTACCCATCCTTTGAAGCTGTTCTTTCGGCGTCCTCCATGGCTGGCCACCACGTGACAACACGCCACCAACTAACTCATGTCAGGACTGAGTTCCTATGTGCGCTGCGACCAGCGCCACGGCAGAGCGAGCACCTGCGCAAAAAGGAAGAACTGGCGCTAATAGAGAGGTCTTTCCCGACTGTTTACGGGAGTTTTGACGCTTCGGAAGTTGCCGGCTTATGAGGTGGATCAGGTGTTGAGAAATGTCTGCCTGCGAATGGGTTCTTGGATCTTTGATTCTCCCACCAGGCGATCCATGCGACGGTCCTGGGATCGCTTCCGCATTTCGATGGAGGAATGTCTGTCTTATCTCCCAAACAGCAGGTCAACACGATGCTCACCATGTGGGGTTCTGCATAAGGGGATTTGCCCAAGTCCGGTTGCTGAATCAATCACGTTTTGTTTGCCACGCCCATCCACTGCTTCAAGCTGAGGCTTTTGGCTCGAGGCAAGTATTGCCGGCCCATTGTCAAGCCTTAGGTGATGACTTTGCAGCACTTTTATTGATGAATTATCGGTCGTGCATGATGCTCTTTAGCACCAGCTTGGTGCTGGCAACTAGGTGGCTTTCAGTGTGCGATTTCTAGTAAACCGCCCTCAAAGCTCAGCATGCAGGGTCTTCACGCTTAAGGGCCGACGGCAGAGTCACCTCGTTGAAGGGGCCTTGCTATGCACAGAACGCTCCCCCCCCTCAAACAAACACTGAGCAGATCTGCGCAGCAACTGTCCCGCTGCAGTTTTCATCGCATTCTGACATCCGAGGTGATTGCAGCATTGGCAGAGCCATCTCAGTTACTTGTTGGCAATGCTGGCTGGGGGCTACTCTTCGATGGCCTAGACGACATCGTGCTCCTTGACAACATGCCCGCGCCACCTTTCACCATCGAATTCTGGGCCCAGCCTTTGGACCTGAAGGAGTGGGCGAAACCTTTGTTGCAACTGCCCTGTAGGCTTCATTGCAAAAAACCTCAGACCTCACCCCAATCCTCCACTGCGTGTTCAAGCTTGTTCTTGCTCTTCTTATTTGAGGGTATTGAGCCATATTGAGCCCCAAACCCCGACTCTCACTCCCTCTTTGGGTAGGATGGTGGTGGAAGGGCTTTAGCATCATACAATGCCAATGCCGCGATGGTCTCCCGAGTCACACCGACGGGTCTCATCTTGCGGCCGAACAGCAAGAGTCATGCACCCCTGCATCCCACCCCAGCTTGAGCCTTTAAGTAGGTTTCAGAGGGCTGACGTCGCCGGAGCTCAATAGTAAGACTGCCTGGCTCAGGTCGATACTCGAGCTTGGGGCCGAGATTCATACATCGACGGCTACCGTGGGCTCGTTCGGTTCGCCGCCTGCTCCTGGGGAGATCTTTCATTGGGCCATGTCTCTCGGCAAGGACGGAGATTATGCAGTGTACATCAATGGCGACGGCGTTGCCGCGGGCATTTTGGCAGAGGAAGACATGCGGGCTATCACGGATGAGTACATGGCCTTTCCGTGGACACTGGGAGGACGATTTGGACGTTACTTGGGCCAGTATGTGCCTTTCCTCAATTTTTGTAAGAATTTGGTCAGTTTTCTCATACCCTGCATCGTAGGTTCGTCCTAGCCGGGCGGAGGAAAAATGGTCAGTGCGGCCAAAATCAAAAGCATCCAACATCCCTGAAACCGAGGTAACCGATGACCGTGCTTTCGGGGGAGTTATGGACGAGATCCGAGCATGGAGTTGTGTTCGCAGCCCTGCGGAAATTCGGGACAACAGGCGACCGTTCTGGGAATGCCATGCCATGCCTTCAATCGTCCCCAAAGGAGATGCCGGTGTTTCACTGACCCTAGGCTCCCTAGATCCCAATCGGCAGGTTCTTACACAACCTTGAGGGACCTGCAGCCGCGAATTTGACACTTCAACTGGGCTTTGACATGCCAGACGATGCTCGGCCGTTGAACGTTGACTTCATAGGATTGAAATGGGCTGTAGGACACCGGGTTCATGAGATTCGGGGCCGATGACTTCTGCTTGTGTTTGAAGTGACCATAGGGTACTACTCCTGGAAATCTTACAAGGTTTTAAGCAACTATTAAGCAGAACCTAAATGGCAATACACCCCCCTGACAGCCTAAACCCGATGCCCTAAATCCAAAGCCATTTTTGAGGAGCCTTGCCTGCCGAGTGCGAGTGTGAGAGTCGAAACCCAAAGCCAGTTTGGCTCAAGCATCCTGAAATACCAAAGCAGGCTTACATGTGTTCGTGGCATCTGCTCTGCATCCTAATTTCGTAGGGGTTTTACTCTGCCAGGGAACGCGAGGACATGCGCCTACCGACGCCTAGCAACATAGGCTCCTCTTGCTGACAAGGAGCTAGAGTGGCAGAATCTGGTCAACGGTGCCCCGGGAAGCCCCAAGTGAGCCAGACAGAAGAGAAATTGCGGGAGAAAGAGAGACCAGAGAGTCCAGGCATGCTGTGCGCAGTGTATCTTTACAGCTTCGTTCCCATGAATTCCCCTGAACTGTGTCGCACGGGCTGGTTCTGTTGGATGATATACTTGCTGTGCCTGCTCCCCGAACTTCAGTTCTGGATGTTTTGGCGCCGGGTCGCTGCGGTCTCTCTAGCCCTTGCTAGTCTGCAGTCATGGATGTCCTGCACGATGCGACGTGTTGGCCTGACTGGAACCTTTGTTTCAGGAGCGCAGCGAGCAACGAAAAGCATGGCCACACTCTGATCCTGAGCCCTAGGCCTAGGCTAAACTGTATACAAGCTCCAGCGTCCTTCCCAGGAAAGTCCAGCAATCGCGTTGCTCGGAGCTGGCGTCCGTTTTAAGACTCCGACGTGGGTGCCTTCTCCGATCCCAGGCAAGGAAGGGGTTTAGGGCTCAGGAAAGATCAGGATGGGGGTTCAGGGTTTAATTACGAGCACAGTGCTAGCTGGCGGAAGAGTGGCTACCTACCAGGCGTTCTTGCTTGCAGGGTTGCAGCAAAAGGGTTAATTTATGCATTTGCGTTAAGGCTTTGGGCTACATCTTGTGTTCTAATAGAGGTGAAAGAATTGTCCATCAGTGCATTGCATTCCCGGTGTATTCCTCGACTCTATCTACAGAGTACTCTACCAGTATCAGCCGTATAGCATAAAGCTTGGTATTCTCACAGAGGCTCTTTTGATCTGATACTTACAGGTACTTACAAAACCGGTATTCGGAAAACAGTGTGCAAGATAGCTACTGGGTAGCTGAACATGGGCCGTTATCCCCAAACTCCTGCTCAACCCGCGGCACGTGGTGTTCAACACCTGCTGCACAAAGACAAGGAGCGAGAGCGGCAAATGCTAGTTGGGGCGAGAAGGATCAGTAGAAAAATCGACGTGAAAACCTTTCAGAAACTGCTGCGCGTGTCATGCCAGAACCACGGCCACGGGCGGGGGGGGTGGGTGAGAGCTGCTGAGCAGGAAGGCGCTGCAAAAGCCCAGGACGGCCGCGATTAGCCGAAACCGGAATTCCTGGAGTCGTCCGACAGTGAACATCAGAAAAAACCGAGCTCCGAAACCCCAAGAGATCCCAAGGGCGCAACCCCCAACTGGATGCCAGGCGTCGGAAGTGCCGTGGTCGTCGACGTAGGGCTTGGCGACTGGACCGCAAAATGCCGGTTGGGGCTCATAGGAGCGCACTGTCGCAACTGTTTTTTGGGGGGAATAGGCTCGAGGTGCTCAAGTAGACCAAGCCCTTACTCCTCTTTTGCTCGGGTTGAGGGCTTGCTGCAGCATGTAGATGGGCTGTGATGCGCTTGGAGGCAGCGGCGTGCAGCACATAGAGATATGCGCCAGCATGAACGAGTTCGTAGACGGGGTGGTCGCAACGGCGACTTTTCCACAATCTCTCTCTACTGGAGTTCTAATGATTCCAGGACCTCTTCCAGCTGAAATCTCCATCCCACTCTCGGAAAACCGTTCAACGCAATTTTTCCAGCTCTGTGGCTACATGTCCTACCTGCCCCAGCGCTCCGGCTTCGACGTCGCAGAGTTCCAGGTACGTGCCGATGTTGGCAACATCACTCTAGAAGCGACCGGAACCCTGCATGTGCGGGTGCGCCCAAATCATCACCCAGTCGCTGGTGCTGCGTGGGCCATGCTTACAGATGGGCAGAGCGGATATGCCCTAGCAGGCCACACACCTCAAGAAGATGAGTTCTCTCTCTCCTTGTGGATGAAGGCCGATACCACATCCTCGGAGCCCTGCATGGTCGGGCGCCACTGGGTCCAAGACGCAGAGAATTACATCCTTCTCTTTTTCCACGGCGGCGCGTACAGCTTCTTATGGAAATGTGGTGCAGGCTCTGGGTACAGTAATGGTGTGCAGAAAATTCCGAGCCATGATTGAGCCATGCCTAACTGTCCTCTGACTGCCTCTCAGGACGGCCAGGGTTCATCAACTTTCCCAGGGAGCCGGACGACAGCTTCGTACTAGACACGGGGATGACTGGCAAGCAGATTCGGGATTCGCGCTTGGAGCCACATCACATGGCCGTCACGGCGAAGTGCGTGCCCTCGGGCTCCTCGGACTATTGGGGAACCTTCTGCTTCCTAAACTTTACCTTACATGCCCCTGACAGCTGCTGTAGAGGTTCAGGCTCAAGGGAGTGCAGTTTTGAGATTGTTCGATTGCCTCTCGGAGTTTAGGGCTTTGGGTGTGGAGGTTGGGCATTCAGAAAATTGAAGGTGTAGGTTGTTGAAGGGACTTCTGCGATGCGCGAACCTTGAAGCCTGAAGCCTGCCACAGGCCAAGATCATCGAATCCGCTTTGCCGCGTATCGCAACGGCAAGCTGATGGCGCAGTCGGACGACATTGGCGAATGCATTCCAGGGTGTCTCCTAGTCGCAGTTCGGGTTGTAGGCCTCCGGAATTCCGGTTTCGAAAGGTTGAGGAGGGCGTGAGCACGCGTGGCAGCCAAGGCTACGCGCAGGACTTGACGCCCTGGGAGTTGGCAGCGGAGTATGACCCATCACCTTCACTACAGCAGATGGTCCCGTCGAACTTCTTCCGGGGCGTCCTTGATGACTTCCGGGTCTATGGCTCGGAGCTCGTGGCTTCGGAGGTGGAAGCCGTTGCTTCAGGCGCCAATGTTCGTGAGGAGGACCTTTTGCTTCACTACACCTTCGATAGCGACGACGAGGAGACCTGCAAGTACCGGCGCCTCGTGAACAGCTCCTCCGTATGCTTCGGCTTAAATGAGCGGGCGGGCCGCGTCGACTCCGAAGCTCTAGATCAATTCCCTCGCATGAACTCCTTGGTGGGCCTTGAAAACGCAGCAACGCACATCCAGTCGCCTTTTCCTATCAAAGCTTCCCTCCTGCACCATAGCATGCGTGAGCGCGAGTGTGCAGAGATCGGATTGGAAGCAACCGATGTCGATGGCGATGCACTTGTCTTCAGCTTGGGTTACGTATCGGGGAGGGCGGAGGTGTCACTGGAATCAGGAGTCCTCACGTTCTGTGACATTCTCGGTGGTCGGCATGACGTGGACGTCTTCTACGACGCCTGTGACCCACTGGGCTTGTGTGCCTCGGCAGGGGCAGGACTTGGCCACCTGCTGGTTCACGTCTTCCCATCCGGGCCGAACATCAGTAGCTTTCAGTACCTGCCAGAGACACAGCAATTGCGGATGGTGTTTAACATGCCAACGAACATGCCGGATGTGAGTGACAAGGTCGCTCTCCAGCGCTTGCTGTCCTTGGAGGAGGTGCCGGTCACTGTGGTTCAGGGAGTCTGGGAGGAGGGAGGACAGGGCCTCCGACTTCTGCTGGGAGCAGGCTTGGACGCCTCGAATTTCTCCGTTTCCTTGAAGACCAGTGGTCAACTCCGGGATGCAGCCCAAACGACCTATTTCAGCTACAGCTCTTCTCCGGCTTTGGTAGAAGCTGGCGAGCTTTCAGAAAGTGTTTTACATGGGTGGACTTCACCCCCTCAAGCCCTCATCCCAAACCCGAAAAAAAGGTATAGCAGAATTACTCCTAAACCCCTGCAGCCCTTGAACCTCTAATCGCCAAAGCCAGCAATCGCTAAGCACAGGAAAAGCAGTGCCCCATGGGCAGCTATCTTCCCCCGGGAGGGGAGTCTTGCGAAGGCTGCGGCTTGGGACGCTTCCTCATCCTCGAAGGCTCTCCTGTACCACGGGGATTGAATTTTCCTGCTTTGGGAGCTAGGCTTTGCAGTGGGTTTGGGAATTCTCTTTCAGGGTGGATCATGTCCCTGATTTCAGGCGAAAGCGCGGGCGTGTGCAGGTCTTGCAGCCCGGGCAGCTTCTCCAATGAGACCTCTGCAACCTCTTGTACAATCTGTCCAAGAGGCACTTTTCAGAGCCGGCGGGGACAGCGCCCAATCTGACCCAGAGACTTTTTGGGTCAAGCCTCGAAACTCTAAACTCCCCATACCAAGTCAAAAGAACCTCATAGTTGGTCTTAGCCACCCTTGCAGTAGCCCTAAACCCTAACCCTTACGAAACTTACAGGGTCCAAATCCGAACTTGGGATCATTGAGGTCCTCCTGCGAATCCTGCGAACAAAGAGCTGCAGGCAAGAAAGGGGAAGGTAGGTTTACTGGGCTTCGATTCAGGGTGTAGGCCTAGGGTTTAAGGAGCTTGGTATGTTGATGCTCCCTGGCTGGCTTTGGGGCTGTAGCTCGCTAACGCCCTGCAGGCAGCACGACTCGTGAACTGGCAAGCACTTCCATCGACGACTGCATCTGCCCCGAGGACTCACTCAGCAGAACGAAGCAAATTACGCCCCATTCGGCCCGGGCGCCCAAGCCCCATCATGCAATCAAGCGTGCCCATGAGAACCCAACACCACCCTAAACCCCGACACCGGAGATCTACCTTCCCCCCGCCACCGAGGAGACCTTCGCATTGTTGGGAGGCCAACTCGTCTGCGAGCTGTGCGGCACGGGCTTGCGGTGCGAGCCTCACGAGAGGAGAGCCGTTAAGGAGGGAGATAAAGTTTAGAAGGGCTTTAGGGCTCAGGGTTTAGAGGGTGTAAAGACTAAGAGGAGTTTGGGTTGAAAAGGTTGGGGGTTCGGAAGCCCTACTGCGACAAAGCGGGTAGATAAATAAATGAACAAAACCATAACGGATACATAATAGTTGAATAAGTAATATAGAGAAATAAATAAATAATGCAAACTCTTTCTCTCTCTCTCTCTCTATATATATATATGTATGTATGTATGTATGTATGTATGTATGTATGTCTGCGTGCATATGCTTGCATGTGTATGTATTTATGTATGTGTGTATGTATGTCTCTAGTATACTCTTGTATTTGAGACTTGGATGTAGCCGTGCATGAGAGCTTGTTGGTGGCCCCTGTGTCCTTCTGTGGCTTGGTCCGAACCTTCCTTCGCAAAATCCTCATCTGGATGAGCTTGAGCTCCCTCAACCCCACAGCCCTGCAACTGCCAGGTGCCCTGGTGGAATGGGCTTACCGAGGCAGGCGGCCGGGTACTATGCCAGGGAGGTTCACCTCTCGCCAAACCGCAGTACCTTGCTGGTCACTCCCCGCATGGTTGCGTGCGCTGATCGGAGGCTGGCCCACGTCAAACATCGAAATCCGCCTTTCCCAAGAGCTTTTAAGTCTAAAGGCGTGAAAGACTAGGGAGATTGAAGTTTGGGTTGAGGGTAAAGCCGGTTTGAGGTGTGCAGAAGGCCAAGAACTTGGTTCCTGCGGCGCTGGACAGGATCTGCTTGCTTGCGATGCGTGCGCGACAGGGCTGGCATTCGGCTCGGGTTGAAACCGCAAACCAAATCTCTGTAAGTCTAAGAGTCTACGACTCCCTGAAGGCTGCCTGTAAAACTTGCGCAGCAGCACGGCCTCTACTTTGTCCTAAGGTCCTAAGCCACGAACCCGTCAACTTAACCATGAGTTGCGAAGATCTGCGAGACACCCGAGGTGAGAGGCTGGTACTGGAATGATTCTCGCGGGCGTTGCGACCCATGTGGCGTCGCCTGGCGCAGTGTTCGAGGCTTCGACGGTGAGGCTTTGATTTTGAGGTTTGAAGTCGGGCTTGGGGCTTTATGAAGGCGTTAAGCCTTATGTAGAAGTATTCAAGGTTGAGGGTTCGATAGCTCTTCGAGATGCAATTTAAGCGAGAATATTACCCGCGCCCTCGATGGTCCCACGTCATCCATGGCATGAGCTGTTACATATTTACATTTATGAAGTGTTGCAATTGAAAACACATTATGCTGTTTTCCCATCCCGCAGAGGTATTCCAATTTGCTTCCAGTGTTGTGTTTTTGGTCTCTCCGCTGAGGAACTGCTCATTCAGCTGTTCACTACATCATCGGAAACCACCCTTTTCGTCTAGAGGGGGCAAAACAAAATATGATTGGTTTCTTCGAGGTTGGGTTGATGGCTTGATGCCGAAGCTATCAGCAATTCCGTACTCCTTGACTTTCCACATCTCTGAACAAAGACAGCACGCTCGAAACACAAGCTTATCAAGATAGAAAAGAAGAGTCAACAACTCAGCGAAATGTGAGAGAACTCCAAGAAGAGGCCCCGTTCGCCTCGGATCTTAGGACAAAATCCAAGTACATAAGACAGCTTCAACGAAGTTTCTCAACAAGGACTTGAGCAAGCTGTAATAACGCCGTCGTTGTGCCTTGCCCGTTTTTCCCGAGACATTAAACCCGTAAACCAAACCGTTTCGTTATGCACAGTCCCAAGCTCCGAACCCCTGGAAAAGATCCTTGCTGTCGGGTGTGTTTTTTGACACCCATGGCAACATCGCTTGAGCTTGCCTATTTCAGATTCTCACGATTTATTCGGTTTCGGGATCATACATCTGCCAACCCTCAGAAAAAATCCTTAGTGGAAGCCGTGCAAACAAGTACGGACACGAGATACCAGGTTTAGTAGGATTAACTTCGGCTTTTGATTGACGAGACAGCCATGTCCTTTGATATCCCCACACCCAAACCCGAAACCCTACGACCCTGAGCCCGCTCGGCCAGAATCAGGTTGCGCAGGCCATGCCGCTCCTGATGGCTTTGTGCCTAGCCGGGTGCGCCCTGTGTCTTTCAAGTTGCAGGACGACAGTTTATCAAGGTTTAAGAGGTTAAGGTTCAGGATTTAAGCCTTTGGCTGCTAGGGCTGTTTGCTCCAACTCCGGGCGAAGTGGAAAGCCTGTTGCAAAAAAGCCTTTGGCCACGCAGCCCTGGGACTTCTCGGGCTTCAAGTTGTTGGGGAGTATCCACTGATTGTCTTTCGAGTCCAAGTTGTGCGGGAGGACAACGACGGTCTTCAACAGTGACATTGCGACCATAACGGCCACGGTGGCAATTTTCTTCTCTACAACACAGGTGCTCGGGACCATTGCCGACTTGCTTGTCGCGCATGAAGACGTCCTTCGCTACATGCTTCGAGCCCTTCGCTTCCTCAGCTTCAGTCCCGATCTTCTGGGCACAGAGTGTGTTTTGCAGCAAAATGATGCGGTTCTTTCCTATTTGGCCTGCTTGCTGGCGCTTCCGCTCGCGGTTCTGGCTGTGACAGTAGTCGGGCGAATACGTTTGGCGATGGGCAAAACAAGTTGGGCAAGCGTGTTCAGCAGCCAGGGCTCTGTGGTCATGATTCTGTACCTTGCTTCGGCACGTGTCGCCGTACTCCCGCTTCAGTGTGCCGCCAATCCGGACGGATCCTCATCAGTTCAGGCATATCGGTCGGTAATATGTCTGGAGGCTCCGGAGCACATAGCAATGGTGATCCTGGCGGTAGTTGGACTGTTGTTGTTCAGCGTCACCCCGCTGGCTGCAGTGTCATGGGCGGTGTGGGTATATCCAAATCGTATCCAAAGTCCTGGGTCAATTCAGTTCCTAGAAAGATGGCGCTTTGCCTTCGACCGATTCACCATTGAATCTTACAGATATGCCGTAGTCTACCTTTGGCGCAACCTTCTGATCGCTTTGACGCCGGCGGTGTTCACCAACAGCCAATCCGTGCAGATCCTGCTACTAGCCGTGATTTTGGTGTCTGGCCTGGCGATTCAGGTCCGAGTCATGCCGTGGCGCACCAGCTTGGCTAACTTCATCGATGCGCTCGCATCTGCCTCGGTTACCATCCTACTGGTCGGCAGTTCCTTGCTCACGGTCCTGACAGCACCGGACATAGGTCTACTACAGACATGGGTTTCCTTGCACCTCTTAGCCATCTTTGGCATCTTCGCAGCGGTGGTCTTCAACTATATCCGCCAGTGGTTCAGAAGCAAGAAGTACCAAGTCTTCATCAGCCATCACAAAGGCAGCGCAGCAGCGCTCGCCCGCTGGTTTAAGACGTGCATGCTAGCTCAACAGAGGCTGCAGTTGAAGATCTTCCTGGATTCGGATGACCTTTTAAGCGTGGATGTGCTGTTTGACACGGTGGCGCAACAAACGCAGAGCGTGATTCTGATCCTAACGAAAGAATATTTCGGAAGACCTTTCTGCATGGGCGAATTTGTAAGTGCGATCCAGTCTGGCGTTCCCATCGTGGCCGTAAAGTGCAAAGACTGCGAGACTCTTAATACGGACCTGATTGTCGAACATGTGCGGAGCATATGGAAGGAGTCGCACAAGGCCATGTTGTCGAGTTTGGGTATCACTGAAGACCTTATTGCAAAGGCAATCGCACATTTGCAGCACAACATAATACCAGTTGTGGATCTGGATCGGTCACAGAGCGAAACCGAGCAAGTCAAAGTGGTCTCAGCCACTATGGAAGCATGCCACTTGGGCACCTTCACTTTCACCAAGGTGTCGGTGATGAAAAGCATCTCCATCACCAGCCTTCAGCCACAAATTCTCCTGATGTCTTCATGGCAGCACGAAGCGCGGACCTGCTGCTTCTTGGTGCGCCGGAAGCTCGTTCTCCTCATGCGAACTGTGGTGGAAATCCTGCGTGAGGACCAGCTGGACCTTCTCGCAACGAAGAGCGCCTTTCCGGATTTGGGCGTGCTGGTCGTCGTGCTCATGCAGGGAACCTTGGAAGATCCGTTTGTGGCCAACTCGCTGTTCCTGGCAAGGAAGGCTGGAAGTTACTGTTAAGGAGCTTTGACTAGAAGGCGATGTCCCGAACAAAGGCCAGCTCGTCTCTGAACCAGAGCAACGATTTCGGCAACGAGCTCCGAAACCCTAGGGCCCTAGGGGAAGCACACAAAACACACCAACTAAATAATCATATGAAGCCATAAATGCCATAAACCACGGATGGGCCAGCCAATATAATATATGATCAGAAGCAATGTTTTCCTGTTTGTTTGTAGTCGGGCATTGAAAGCTCCTCAACACCACCCTCAAAAGCCATCAACCCTCCTCATGTGTGAGCGCTGCAACGCGAACTCCGAAACCCTAGCTTGGCTTGTCCTTGTGTCACAAACAAAATTCAGAAAAAACGGCCCTTTTGCAAGGCCTACGAGGACGTTCACTTGGTCCCGCTCATCGCGGACTCGAACTTTAGCTTCCCAGACACGGCTTTCTGGGTGCAGCTCGCCTCCGGGAGGCGCGGGCTACATCCTATAAAGTATACAGTATACTATACCCTAGTATTCTGTAGTAGAATTGGTATATGCTATACTATATTACATGGGATTTGCCTGCGGGAGCCAAAAGATATTACAGTGTACCATGACTATTACCTTTCTGGGAGTTAGGCAAGCCCGAAGTCCTATCCGTAAAGATCCCTAGGAAGGGAAAGAGGCGCCCCGAGACAGGCTAATGTCGCCCTCCCTGCTCTTGGCTTCGCAGACATTGCGGGATGTTCAGGACCGGACAGAGGGTTTTAGGGGTTTAGGGATCTCTGGTTCACTAGATGATTGCGTTCCGAGTTCGGGGTTTGCCAGGACTCCTACGAGCATCTCCTGACCGTTATCGCCCTACGCCTCTCCATCCAAGCAGCGGCCTTATGGGTTTTTGTTTGTGTGCGGCCCCCGGGTTTTGCAGGCTGAGAAGGTCCTCCAAACGCCCTCCGAGGCCTCCGAGAAGCTGCAGGCTACAGAAATGCAGGAGGCCAGCCGCAAGCTGCAGCTGCTCCTTAAGGACCGCAAGAACGTTCTCAAGGACGCGCGCACGGAGGGCGAAGAGTCGGAGAGCCCGGAACCACCCAGAATAAGCCCAAAGCCCCCTAAAATCGCCTTATGAGAGGCTGTCTTGAAGGATTTGTTGCTCAGAGCGGAGGCCGGAAGCCAGTTTTTTCCTCCCTGAACCCCTAAACCGAAATATCCAAGACCCTCCAACGAGGGTGGGCGGTCCCAAGCCTGCACTGCTAGCTGGGCCGGGAACCGGCGTGGCGATAGCTTTGCGCTTATTTGGATTTAGGGCTTGGGTTGCGGGTTAGAAGTACACACAATAGACAAGGGGGCAACATTCTCGATCATCTTACGTGGTTCCTTAAATCTTCAGCATGAGCAGCAACAAGAATGCTGCCGAGCACATTCTGCTTGCTTGCGCAATCCGAGTGCGATTTAGTGGATTGTGACAGTGAGGATGTCTCCTCCGCATTTGCGAAACCGTGTGCTCGGCATTCCTGGTTCCATCGGCCCAGGCTAGACTTCTCCTCGATTAAGTTCCGAATCTGCTGGGATTGTTATGGTTAATTTTCTTGACATCCTACTCGGCACATCTATACAGAGAATGATTAAGAAGAGATGCATTGAGTTCGATTCTCGGATCACAGAATTATCCGATGCTTTATTCGGAAAAATAAAAGGCAAATTACAGTACATATTATATGATATAGTAGAAGAACTGTTCACATACAAATATGTAGAGATATGGTTTGAGAGTGTTTGTTTTAATTACGAGTTCGAAACTGTACAATATTCTCTGATATGAGGCGTCCCCCTTGCATAGTATTATTGCTTTCATTGTGGAATACGTGTAGTGTTATATATATGAATGTATTCAACTAGTTTCTGATATTTTATGTTGCAATGGTATTTGCACGTCTGTCGGGTGTTACCTTACTTCTGAGACGACAACGAAAACGAATCGACGAGAAGGGGCTCTTATTTTTAATTTTTCTTCAAGATAAAGGATTCAATAAAATAGAAGAATAAATTTCTTCTATTCTATAAAATAGATTACGATAGTTCTCTATAAAATAAATTTCGAGAAATTTTTTCAAAAGATTATATTTCGGATTCTAAATTTCTGAGGGATAGATATATTTGGTATCGTGCGTACGACAATATTAAAAATTATGATGAAATATTCCGAAATATATGAGTAAAGAATAATTATATGTTAGATCTATATTTGCTAGATTTAAATTTCATAAGATTTTCTATAGATTCTATATTTAAAATGGAATTTAAGGAAATTCTCTAAAAATATGATATAGAAAAATATGAAATGAAATTTGAGAATATCGTATTTATATATTTTATATTTAAAATATATATATATTAAAGGAATGTATAAAATAAATTTTTAGAGAAATTTGAAATTTAAGAAAGAAATATATTTGAAATTATAAATTTCTAAATACGATATTTCCCTAAATTATATGATATAATAATAAAATACAATTCTTAAGATTATAAATTTCTTCAATATTCGAAAATATATATATATAAATATTTTTCTTAGAAAATCTAAGGTTTATGGTAAATTAATTAAGGAGGAGCGTTGTTTTAGATTCTTGGGGGAATTAGCTTTTTAGACATTGTAAAATCGGGCTTGAATCTAATTAATGAGCGTATAAACGAGATTTCTTAGAGATATTATTTGCTCTGTTGCTTAATTTAAAATCTTGAAGTTCTAATCTATTTGAATTCTAAATTTCATCGGATATTAATTATTTATCAATTTTTCCAAATATTAAAAATACGGAAGCCGGCGTTTTATATTGGCCGAGGTTTGCATTCTTTCGCGAACAAGGCAAGGAGTCGAAAGATCTTTCTATCGGATATGTCATAATAACCGGATAATTTTTGTTTGTATTATTTTTCGTATCCGAATTCTGATGATTATATTATCTATGAGATTATAATTTCGCTACTCTTTCAATTAAATCTTATGGACTTGGCAATAATTTTTCCAATATATATTTATATAAATTAGCAACTCTATAAATTTGTCAAAAATTCAGAATTTTATATCATATTATACGAAATATTATTCAGACAAATATTTTAAATAGTTTTGAATTGAAGTCGATTATAATTATTATAAAAATATTTTCAATTTAATATAAAAACTCATCACTAACTATATCCAAAATATCTATTATATCTCATTATAGAAAATATTAGGGGAGAAACGAACACTCCAAACAATATCTAATTAAATCCAATAAATTAATTCAATTTCGCAATCACCGCTTTCTTTCGAGACAGAAATCGTAAAATCTTTCAAGTGAATTTAGAATTACGACCCTACCTATTAAATATCTCGGAGTCAATATATCATTCGAGAGACAACACTATCTATATATCAGAGATTCATACGAAAAATCAAGCGTAAATCTCCAGAAAATTCCGTAAATTTTTCTAATATTGTCAAATTATTAATATTATTATTTCAACAGAAAAAATTCGCGATATTAAACAATTTATTCTACGACAGAAATACACAAGTAACTTTAAACACATCAAAAAACGAAATTATCGAGAACTAAGCCGCGCGCAGAATCATAATCGCAAATGACACGATATCACCCCACCACAGAATAAAATACATATAAATTATGAAAATCATAATCTCTTTTATTATTGTGCTTATCATTTCTTATCAAAATTCTGTTGATATTTCGGGATGAATTCAGTCGATTTTTAATTCATGACCTTATCTCTCTATATATTTACATTCGATTGTTCATTCATGACCTTACCTCTAAATATTTCTATATACGTTGCAAATAATTCTACTACGAACCATGAACCATCCCCAACAAGTCCAAATAATGAGATATGAGTTCCATGTCCTAACTCCCTCCAAGCATATGGACATACATTGAGACAGTGTTGCCTGGAAAGACATGTATGTGGCTCTTGTCTGGTGTTTGGGGGGAGGCTACCATACAATAAGTTGCCTTGGCTGTTTGCAAAATCCAGCATCGCACCTGTTTTATCCAATATCGAATCAATGATTAGTCGATGCCTCTTGCTCGGTGAAGTCTTTCAGCAACAACTTCGACCTGGGAGCAATTTTCTCATGTGCCGTGTGCAGGTCTAGACGACACGTCTCCTCGAATTCAGTACAAACTGCACCTACACCGAATGAACAGTTGGTTCAGGAGCGCTTCAAAAGACTATGTAGAGAGCTGTTGCCGGTCTACAAGAGAGCATGCATTCTCTGAAAACACTTCCACCAAATCAATTTCAGAATTTGACCGTCTAGAGACTAGCTGTGTGGGCTACTATTATTTTAAGGGCTTCTCGTTACGACAAAGGTCACTTCTGGGGCTAGGGCTTACCAGTTGAAGGGTTTGGAGTCTGGCTGCTAGAAGGGCTTCTCGTTACCACAAAAACCATTGCAGGGGCATAGGAAACAGAGTGCTGTAAGGGCTAGGCTCTCCATCCGGGGTCATCCGGACTCTGTGACTTTCTTTTGCATTTCTGGCCCAATAGCTGTTGTGATGAAGGGAGTATAAGCAAGGGCTACTAAAAAGGACATGGGTTCTGTCAGGGTACGTGAACATGGTGTCCACGTGACTGGTCATATCCCGATTTTATGAATACTTGGCCCAGTTCTGCAAACCACCAGGTCCGGCAGTACCAGTCAGTGAAGCCTGTTGCCTCTAGTGCCAGTCCGGAACCCTTTGATGCAGGTTGCCTCCGTTCTCAACTACAGCAGTCCACCCAGCAGTGTCGATTTCGCAACCTGCAAACCAGTAGAAGACCTAAGCCTAGCTTGCAAATCGGTTTAGGGTTTCTGTTTTGGCATTCGAAAGTTCTCAAGCGCATTCCCAGCGGCATCTCGTCAATCGACTTCCGCAGCTTCAAGCAGATTTCGTTTGAGACCCGTTTTGTTTCAAACATCATCTCTGTGAAGGCAGTTCCGTCCACTTTGTCGGACTGCGAGGTAAAGATGGGCTGGACACACTACGGTGACAGGTAATACTACACGGGATGTATTACAATGCTTTTGATGAAGCCTGAGGGATTAGCGCCCTGCATAACTTCAGACCAGCTTCGCACCTCCCGTTCGCCTCCACGGCAAACGGGTGAAGAAAAACCCCAACGATATCCCTTTGCTACGACTACATGCAATCTTGCCCGTTGCCCGTAAGGTGGCTGAATGCCCACTCCACCACCTTGCATGGTGATACTCATTTGTCTCGCCATCCTGGTGGAATATGAAAGCTGAGTTGTTGATACCATGTGGACATCACATCAGTGCAAGACAAAGTTCAGATAGCTGCTGCTGCACGAAACATGAAAGTGCAGAAGCGAATCTAACAAGTCTGGCACGTGCGGGTCAACAGTGAAGTATCACTACGCTGTCGTGTCCATTCGTTTAGGTCCGGTTGGAAAGTGTTCATTGTCTTTGACTCGCACTCACGGATTTGATGCAAGCTCTCTTTGCGTTGGCTGAGCGTTGTCTCTGTGGCATTGGCCTACTGTAGCTTGCCATCGCAGCTCAGTCAGCACAAGACTTGCCCGTGCCTCCGGCCCATGTCGGGCTGCTAAGACACGAGCACATCGCTGTTTGAAAGTCTACACGCTTACGGTGCCAGCTTGGCGCACATAAATCTACGTGCAGGCCTCCAGAGACAGTGCCATGATAAACCAAAACGCAGGCCAATGCTGAATAGACCCCAGTGCCACAGAATCGATAGATCTCGTGTTGCACAAACAAGAAACTTACACGCACTGATACGAAGCGCACGATGTGCTTTTTGCCTAGGCCGATGCGGTGTGGAAACTGCAAGGATACACTGCGCTCGTCTAGTACCTCAGCAGGCAGTGTAAGATGGGCCTGTGCGCCAACAACCACCTGGTGGAAAAAATGAGGTCTGGGTCTTGGACTGGGCTCACAGAAGGAGAACAGCCGTGCTTGCAAAGCCTTGCACGCAGTACGCACAGGTATGGTCAGCAATCTGTTTCTGCAGTGCTTGAAACCTAGACTTTACGCTCCATCCACAACAAGCCAGCAGTGCCATCAATATTGATCAGTCCACCAGTTAGAAAGGCGAACGGCCTAAGCTGCAGAAGCACAAGCGAGCTGCCGAGCGCCATTTGCAGCAGTGAATCGATCATCTGAGGAATCTGGGACACCAGCAGAATCATCCAGGACTTGCTTGTGCATTGGGGCTTTTCTTCTGAGAGCTGCAACTGAACAGGAGATTGCGATCATTCGGCTTTGAGAGTTCGAGTCCAGGTTCTCCAACTCGCATGCAGAATTCAAGTTCTTGCTTTGGGGGCTTTGCAGCTGACTTGAAAAAAACCGCCATGTGCTCCAGGTTTGTCCTTTGTAGTCCCCTCTCTGGCTTTCAGATTATGTCTGCCTTTGTTGCGGATGCCGCTCTGCCATCCGGGTGCCTTAGAACTGGGATTTCGAACACCGCAACTGGCAATGCACCATTCTTACTAGGGCTGCAGCAGCACATTGGAGAACACGAAGCCCATGAATGCCACGAGGATGACAGCCTGCATCAATAGTGGATAAAATCAAGTCTGTTTGCTGAAGCCCCTGAACCTGAGACGACGGGCCTTGTTGCCAGGGCATGTTTTATCGCAATACATCGGACTCCCATGTGTAGAATATGGATGCCTTTGGAAGCACATGGACAGAGCTTCCACCCATCTACAGGTGCTTCTTCAGACCTTCAGCCCGTGTTGATCCATTATGAGTGCGAGTGATTTCGCCCGCCCCCGCGCAAAGCCTGCAGCAGCTTCCAACCCGTCAAGATCTACACAAACATGCGGCATTCGGCCCAAAAGCGCATCACGGAACTGATTTCCCGTCACATAGTTGCGCTCATTGAGGCGATCTAAAGCGACTCCCCAGGGTCGTCGTCGGAGCCTCCAACTTTTGTCCCGGAACTCTTCGTCTTTGCGGGGTTGGCATTCGGCAGGATCGGGTTTCTCTGCCCTCTGCAGCCTCCAATTATTATTATTACTAGTATTGCTATTATTAATATTATTATTACGAGTAGTATTAAAATTATTACTAGTAGTATTACTATTAGTATTATGATTCAGTCCTGCACTGCTTCTTGCAGCCTGCAGCTCGCCGGCACTCCGGGCTCTGACTGCCAGTAGTCACTTCCCCTGCTGTCCTGCATCCCCACGGGCCTTTGCAGGCGTTCCAGCTGGCTCTTGAAACCGTAAAGCTTCTGATGCTCTGCTGATCCCTAAACTTCTTCTAATCAACCCTTAAGTTCTCAACTCTTGAGCATAATACTAGGATTTATACTAGTCCTAGTACTTGTAGCATTCGTACTTTTGATGTATCGTAGCGTTAGTACTGAAAATACCAGTAGCAATGCCGCTAGCAGCAATACTAGTAACTGTCCAGTTCTTACTCCTTTTCCTAGTGCATAGTATCAACATTACTGCTGATGGTAGTGGTCCTTGTGCTCCTGGTAACACTACTGCAGTCCTCGTTGCCCCCGTAGCAAGTTTCGTTTCAGTCCGAGCCGAAACCGCGACATCCCCCACTGAACCTTTCTGCAAATTCAGGGGCTTACGAATAAGGCACGAAAGTGAGCTTCCCACCCGCTTCAACACAACACAGATACCACCGGCCACGTGAACCGCCTGGCCTGTATCCCATTGTGGATCATCTTCGCGGCCTCTTCGCAAAATCCATAAAGGATCACATCTGGGAGTTTGAGTCAAAACAGTTGGAAACTCCCCACTGTTAACCCTGACGAAGCAAGATTCGAATGAGTCCACTCAGTGGACAGTGGCCTGGGTAGTAACAGAACGCATTGGCAAATAAAAGGATAGCGTGACCTCAGACTGCAAAGGAGCAAGGCCATGGCCACCTTTTCTTTTCGTCGGTCTTGTTCGATCAGAAAAGCTCAGCGCGGCACTAGCGCTCCAGCAAAGCCTGCCGAAAAACAAGCTTCTTGTAAATGCCGTGTAAGTTTCACCTCTGCGCCACAAACGGACCCCGCACTAGTTGAGGTTTGGGGGTTTAGGGCTTCGTCTCGCCGACTGTTGCTTCCTTCCTCATCCTTAGCTTGCGTGAGACTGAGACGAGCTGAGGCATGATCGATGCACCGTGCATCGAAGCAACCACGAGTTGGCGGGAAGCAGTGCTGGATTCAGCTTGCGGTGCTCCCTCCGAAGCTTCCACACCCAGCTTCGGCCTTGGCGCCCGGGCCGGACGAAGCCGGCATGGGATGCCCGCAAAGCTACCGCTGAAACACTGAGCCAAAAGGCATCGATGCGTTGGGTGCGCGGCTGGCGGTGGAAGACAACATGCCAGTAGACTACTGCCTAGTTCCGTAATGTCAAGCAAACCATGAGGGACTCGCAATCCGAGGACGAAATCCTAGGTCCTAGATGAGCATTTATTTGAGGGCCGCAAGGTGGGGCCAGCGTTGTTGCAAGTTTGGGACCGAAAAAATCAACGGAACAAATCGTACGACAAGCCAAGAACATTGTGACAGCAGCGAATTCGCAAGCCAACTAGGAGTACCAGAAGCAGCCATTTTGGCACTAATCAGGCCAATGGGAACACAGCTGGGAGTTGATCGCACTCTGCAATGTGAAAACGGTCGCAGTGAGCGTTTAGGTAGTCAACGCGTAACACACACACATACATACACACACACACACGCACACAAACACACGCTCCATCAAGCTAAATAGCAGCGGCCGTGGCGGCAGCCACCGTGGCCATGGCACGGCAAAATACGACGAACATACCAAACTAAAAGTGAAGGGCATCTCCGGCTTCAGATTGCCCGGATAGCTTGCCGATGCCAGGGTATGCCCGCCTTTGAAAGCTCACCCAAACCTCCTTTTACAATTGCAGTCAAAAGTGCAAGCTTTGACAGTCACGGCAGATGCAAGAAGACGTTCGCAAACAAGACGCGACAGTTGGGTGTAAGGGCATGTGGGGTAAGTCTGCCATCAGAGAGTGAACGTCTTGCACACCCGCTCGGCGAGATCAGATTAGAAGGACTTTGATTTTCGTTTCGAACTCATCATGGCAGAATTGCACTTGTCCGCCAGTGTGCTGCACACTCAGGCTGGGGGGTCGCCAAGTAAATGGAGTAAGGTACAAGCTTCACGGATGCAGTAGGTAGCATGGCCGGGAGTGCCATTGCCCTTCCCACCAGCATATGCAAGCCGCGACTTCAGCAGAGACCACGGCTAACTCCGCGGCTTATCAGTCTCAACTCTGAAAGGCAAGTGCCAACATCTTGACGTCGATAAAATGTCGGTTCTCTGTTCTTCGGTGACCACAACAAGTTGCAGCTTCACGCAAGCGTATCAACAATTCAGGCATGTGGCATGCAGCGCATGCACGTCAGACTTCTTTCTCCATCAATGCCAACCTGCAGGCGGATCAGGATGAAAAGGACGTTGAGATGTGCTGCTGTCTTCACTGACGCGATGAAAGCCCTATGCCAAGACCACCCAAGACAAGAACGCATCAGTCTGGCATCTCCGTCAATCCCCAGCGGAGACTTCGGATTAGAAGGACTTTGTTGATTCGCAGTCATCACATCCGCTCGATTTGGCAGCCATGCACGGTTCAATGCACCGACATTGAAGCAAGCGCACGCTTCCCTACTGCGCTGTAGCCGCTGCAACGGCGCAACGCCTCAACCCACCTGCTGCAACCCATTGCCGTGCATCGGCCCTGCCAAAACATTGCAAATGCAAAGCAGAGCCTTTCTCCGCGCTCATTGCGGATCTCGTATCTTGCAAGAGGCTGCAATGGCCCCGATCACTTTCGTGAAGATTCAGCGCACCACTGCGTCAGACAGATTCGCATGATTGGAGAAGGCCCGAGGCCGGTAAGCTAACAGGCATGCACACAGATTCTTCTGGTAGGCTGTGGAGCTGTCTTGGACAGGCACGCACAGGGCTCCATCAAAATCCCTATCTTGCTACCCCGAACAGGAAATCATGCCCTCACTTGATCGGTGAACATCCGAGCTGCTTGTGAATCTGCTGAACGAGTCGAGTCAAATATCGCACGCGCCTCACCAGAATGTTACGGCCCTTGGGCCTAGCCCGGAAAGCAATGACACGGCCAGAGAATCGCAGCCGGACAATGCCAAGGCACAGCCGAATCGAAATGATGTCCTGAAGTCATGACGGGCACAAGCAGACAGGAAACCCCTTCTCTGAAGTGCGGGCTTGGATTTTCCACAGCTTGCCAAGCTTCCGTCTTCGAAACTGGGCCTCGGCACTTCATCAGGCCTTCGATGGTCTCGTTAAACCTTGGTTCGGATTCTGTGGATACACAAGGTAGTAGTCGCGCAAGCGGCCAGGGCTGCGACGGCAGTTTTCCCGATAAATCAGTGTCCAGCACATCGAACAGTTCGAATTTGCTGGACGTGTCCTTGGCAGGATCTCTCTAGCACCCTCTAGCGGCACTCGAACCTCGAAAGGCTCTGAGATCCTGGCAATCTCTGTATCATCCAGGCACTGAAGTAGCTCACTGGACTGGAGGAGCCACTTATTGAAGGTTCTCTTCGTGATGATGCATCCTGCACCTTGGGTGCACACAGACCCTGCCCCTCTTCTGACTGCTTGCCCAAGTATTGCGAGAAATGGTAGCGTCGCTGCCCCCTTGCTTCCAGACTGTCGCTGCTCCCTTGCACAATAATCTTCCGAGACACGCTTCATCCTGCGCTTTATCCTGGACAAGCCGATCACGCCGACAGCAGGAAAGCCATGTGTTTCCAAAATCTGCATAGAGCTGTGGGGGAAGGAGTGAAACGAAAGGCAAAGAAACAGAGAGAGGCAGAGACAGACCGGGACGAGAGGAGAAAGAGAAAGCCCAGTCTAAATGATCCAAATGCAGCCAAGCATCCGATTCGTCCTTCCTTCGTACTCTTGCCTGAGCTTCGATATGGCGAATGACAGCAACTGCTAGAGAGAATCGGATCTCTTTGAGCATGTTGGCGTTTATAACTTTATGATGCAAGGTCAGAGATGTCAAGCATGAAGCCCCAGTGAACGCCGGCGCAATTCCCGTGCCCCTATGAAATAATCAAGCTCATGCGCAATCCCTCCGTACTCTTGCGAGCCAGCATGGTTTCCTGCTCATCTTCAGAGTCATCCTGCACGCGTTCTGCCATGAGCACAAGACAAAGTCTGGTTGGCAAGGACAACCACTTCAGAATTGACGGGAAAGGCGCCGCACCGCACAAAAATGTAGGTGTGGTTACCGTTGATGCTGTGCAAAATTCGCGACTAGCTCGCTACAGTGCCGTCTGTCTCATCTGAGCAGAACCCTCGCATGGCAAGTCCTCGGGGAGCTCCGGGATAACTCCCGACTTCACGCACATGCTTTGCACGGTCTGAGCAAGCTCGAGCTCGGTCTTGTCCGCAGATAGGCCGAGGTTGAATTGCTTTTTCTTCACCTCAGAGAGCCAGAGGAGACAAACGAGCGCACCGTGAGCTGCTCTCCATTCACTTCAGCTCCTGTCTTCAGCTCCAGCTCTAGCAAAGACGAAAGGCAGCAGTTTCGATCACAAGATGTCAACTTATTCTTCTGGCGTTGGTTTCAAGAATGCTCTTGAGTTCAGGGGGAAGCCACGCTCCCGTCGTTGACGTTGTCGATGAACACGGCCATGATCCTGGCAGCCGTGATGGTAGTAGGATGATGTGCCACAGGTGTTGCATTCATCTCCGGCTGCATTGCTCATGGTCGTCTGAGGGCGTCTCAAGTTGAAGATGCCGATAGTAATAAACAGAAACCTGGAGATGCTTCACGGTGACCACCCGTCTTCACGCGAAACATCAATGCAAGGCGAACACGAGCTGCAGCTGCAAATGCTGCAACCGAGCCGCACTAGAGTATAGCCAATCATCCAGATTCCTCCCTGTGGCTCGTGAGCTCCTAAGAAGCGAGTACTAACGCATCTGGCGGTCCGACGTGGTACCTGCCCTGCCTTGCCTCGCAGATGTGGCACGTGATGCTACATGTGGCGTTGAAACTCCACAAAGTCTTGGCTTTCAGTGATATCACGTCTTTGCTCGAGCGCTGTCTACGTCAGCCTGGTGCTTCCTTCGACCAAACGACTTTAGGGAAACCATGTTCGAACGCAGGTTGTTTTAAGGAGCCAGAACGCTGGTTCAAAGCTAGTTGTGCAAAATCCCCGAACAGAGTGGTAGCACTAAGCGGTTCTCAAATTTGGTGTAAAGAGAAGTTTGGGGCGTCATGCTGTGCAAAAATGGCTCCCCGCGTCGGATTGTTTCATGTTACTGGATACACTGCAAATCCCCTTGATTGCGTCATTGCACAGGATGCGTGCGGTGGTGCTTCTGCATACTTTATGCTGGCATTACATCATTCTATCATTCACAGAGGATTCGGTGTGCTACGGGCTCCGGGAGGCACACTGTAAATGTCCAAGCACGGAGCAAATCAGGTTCGCAAGAGTGCTGGATCCGTGCGTGCTTGCAGGAACACTATGTGGGCGCGCTCCCGAATCCTTGCCAGTGCTTGGGGGCTGGTGGTCCTGAATTCGCAGGTCAAGGTCTCCTCGTTGTGGTGCTCTTTCACTGTCTGGGGATCTACGCTGGCATCATGCTTTTGAGTGGCGCGCTTTGTTTATGGTGCCCGAAACTTCCCTAGCGACCCTGTCCAAGATCGGTGAAGAGCATTGGGGCAAAACAAAGCTGGGCTCGATGACAAAACTCAAGCACGACCGGCGTAGACTCCAACCGGATGCCTCCTGCAGTACCTGACAAGACAAAGTGACAGCAGGATGTCCTGGATGACACTATTGATCTGCCTGAAAGCTGAACCGAGATGGTTTTTCCGGTCTTGCTTCGTTGCTCCCTTTTCCTGTCCTTCTGTCTTCCTTTCACAGAACATTGTCTCAAAAGTAATTCACATATATGCCCACAGAGTGCAGAAGAACTGTCGCCCTTCCACAGCCTGCCCCGGGTGCAGGGAAACAACTTGCAACTTGGACAAGCTGCAAGAACTGATATGACTGCATCAGTCAAGCCATGTCTCGGATGATCTCTTGCAGCGGCCGGCCATCGTATGAAGCACAACCGTCGGTGAAGCATCGGAAAACTGTAAACATAGCAGATGGCCTCAAACCACAGAAACTCCAAGTGGGACGCGATTATCCGAAGCAGACAGACAGAAACGGCCAAGTCCGCGGCACTGTTTGGAACTCTTCCTCGGCAACGCCAAATCAATGCGAAGGGCAATGATAAGGCCAAGCTACGACAGCCGCACGGAGAATTTGCATTAGCACCCATAGTTTAAACTGAGCATGTCCGAAACTGTTGGGAAGTTGATCTTGTGCTGCTCGGGGATATCTCACGCTGGAGCAGCTGTCTACAGTATGGGAAATCTCGATCCAAAGTTGAAAATGGGGTGCTGCTGAAAGGATCGTGCAGTCTCTTTGGCATCGGCCAAGCTCCCCAAAACCACCGCCTTGCAATCCTAAACAAAATCCCCTGCTCCGACATCCGCACGTCCCGCTACGCAATAGTCTCATGACTCCAAGAGGGGCATACTGGAATAAGTCTAAGGTTTAGGACGTAGGTTTCATAGCAGTCACCAGAACTGTTACCAGCAACCCGGTGGCAGTTTTGCAAAGTTGGCACAGCCAAAGTTATAGTCCCAATCGTATCAGGCCAGCAATCGCGTCACATTAAGTCTTAGCCATGACAATGAAAACAAGAGCGAACACGTAGAGAACACAGCAGCAGTATTGACCAAACCACGATCAAAAATAATACAGTAAGGATTTGGTTAATGTCACTGCCGTTCCTAGGTCCTTGTAGCAATGATTCCGAACACTAGGGCAATCAACATGGCGACAACATCTGCTGCGCAAATGCAGGCAGTACAAAGGTGGCCAGAGCGGAGCATGACCAAGCACAGCGCCAATCTTCCGAAACGTTTCAGTCAAAGTGTCGCGATACGCGTACAGCGTTCTGCACGTCACTCCAAGCAGGTAGATGCCTTAGCCAAGCACACAATACTCGCTGTATGAGATTGTTTTAGGAACGGGATCGAACTCGAGACCGCGGACAAGAATAGCCGAGTGACAAAGCGAGAGAAGCACAATGGCCCACAACAGCACGCGAAGTCCTGGCAGACAAACAAAGCTGCTCAAAGTCATCACTCTGCGTGCTACTGTGACGTGCTGGTGACATGGATCCCGGTTGACCCCCAAAGGCATTCATGTCCTGTAAACACGCCTTGGATCCTTGGATAGACTTGGGGCAGTGCGGCGAAAGCTCGCGGTAGCCGATCCATCCGTCTCTCTCAGTGCGGCAAGTCGCATCATCTTCAGCTCTACGAAGATCTTGAACTTCAACAATCGAACCTCATGCGGCCAAGACAGACTTCAAGAGATTGATACCGATATGATCGCAGCAAAGGCAATCCCACAAAGGCGTAGTAATTATCGCCTGCGCAATCAGTTTACTGAAAAGCCCCTCCGGTTTGCACGGGCCCTCTTTCTTGCGGCCGCAGATGCGATGCGCCCGAGGCGAGCCAATTTGAGTGTTTTCCTCAGCGCCGCATACGGGGTCACCACAAGTTCGTGACTTTGGGTAGCTTGTCGCAGCAGCGCAAAGATGCTGGTGATACACTCCAATGAACGTGATGATACTCATATAAGTCACAGCAACAATGGCAACTGCAAAAGTACAGCCCATAACAAGAATTGCCAGCAGTTAGTTGACAACGGTACTCGTATCGGCAGTTCGCCCAGGCTCTACTTACGCTACTTGCCTTGCAACTGCCCTTCCCAGCTCAGACGAGGCTCAAAAATCCCAAAGAGCCGGTGTCCAACGGATCCACCGGTGGGCAGCCCAAGATCCCGAAGCCGGAGGTCGGCAGGCTCATGCCTGGAACTGTCAAGAAAAGAACATAATGTAACAATATTGATTATAAAACAATTTGCTGTACTTTAAACTGATGCAACACGACATAATCTAACACAATCTGATAAACTAGCTTACAATACAAGACGAAATAATTTCTCACAATATGCCATATTAGTTTGTATTGCTGCAGTGTAACCGTTTTCAATTGTACTATGTTGTACTACACTACACCACAATACACTACACTATACTTTACTATACCACACTATACTTTACTGTCCTCTACAGTAGTGTACTCTAGTATACTATATTGCATCATATGATACTTCATTCTTACCATAACCCAATATAGCATTACCAAGATGTAGTATATGATACCAGGTTACATTATATTACGCTATCCTATACCATATAGCGTACCATATGTTAGTAGACTCTGCTTTCCCGAATAGAAATAGAGCAAAACATAATATAGTTGTACAGTAATATGCTGTATTGGGTTCTGCCAATTATACTTGTAAAGCATACTACAGTATGACATGACAGCCCGACATATACAACATAGTACAATCTAACAAAACATAACATGATCAATGTGCTATCATACACTATAACATGTTATAGTACAATATATTCTATTGCAAGAAATAGTGTAGTATAATGGAATGTAAGTAATAGAACACGCTACACATACATAGTACAATATCATCTCATAGAATATGGTATAGTCGGTATAGTACGATATATTGTACTTTAACCTGGTGCAACAAAGTAGAATGAAACTACCATACATAGTAGAATGTAGGATAGCGTAAGATAGCATAACATAAAAATTATGACTACTGGTAGTAACATTGTATCGGGCCTTAAGGCCCGAGGGGCTCAATTTCTAGAAACCTTCAGTGGCTAAGTTGGCTTTATGGCAGGCTTGCGGATCCAGGCACTGAGTTCCAGGTATGCCAAGCCCACGCAAAAGCAGTCAAACCAGGACCAGTACCAGTCGGGTCCCAAGAAAAAGCCTCTCACGGTAAACATTCTCCTCAGTGCAGAACGTGTTTGTGCAATCGTTCGTCAAGCAGGAACATGCAGTAAGTAGGTACACTATGCACGCACAAGGCTCATCTTCACAATCACCTCCAAGGTGAAGAAACTTGTGAAGAAGATCTCTAGCACCACCCAGACCTCAGACCAAGAAGGAGCAAGCCGCATTAGTCGTTGCCTGCCCGGTATGCAAGACAGAAAAGCTCTGCTGGCCGCTGGCCAGGTCTTCTACAATTAAGGCTCTTGCAGTATGCTCTGGGCATATGTCTGCACTGAGGCCAACCACAATGCCATTGATGATAATGATCACTGCCTTGCAGTAGCTTGCAGTGCCCAGTGCAACTCAAGCAACATATCGCACAGCGTGGACCATGCCAAGAGGCCGGGATGACATCTAACACAATCACACGTCCAACCTCGAGTACACAGGCATGAAGAAAGACACGTGGAAGTGATCTTGGCGAGGCCCAACCTCAAAGAAAGCACCTCTGAATGACATGTCAAGCAGCTGGGTCTTCCTGTTCGTCGCCCACGTTCCAGGACGACGGGTCGGAGTCATCTTAGACGAATGGCACAGAACTTACCTTCTAGGCTTCACTGCGAGCGTGCACCCTCTTCATTCGGGAATGGCGCACCGCACTGACATGGCTTCGCCCAGGGATTTGCACATCACAGCAACGAGCTACTCACAGGCCCCTAACATGTCCTACACCTTGCGAAAACGCTGAAAACAACCAGCAGTAGCTAGGACTCTCAGGGAGAGTTGGCTACCTGCATACGTATGCATACACACACCGACACAACCCTTTGTGAAGCCACGGAAAGTAGCTGGCTTTCAGCTTTAGCCAGGCCACTGATGGTCTTGCCGCTAACAGCATGGTGGATCTTGGCAGCATCCTTCTGGGGTGACATATCAAAGCCCACCGTTGATAAGCAGGTGGCTTACAGTGCCTAGAACCGTAGCGTACAGTCTCACTGCCACAGCCTGCATTCGAAGAGTCTGGCGGAGAGTTTTGGAAAGGTTCTGGTAAATGTTCGTTCCTTGAGTGCTAACAAGAACAACAGAGCCGCGACCGCAGGCAAGGGCAGCAGCAAGACCAACATCCGCTTTCAACAACAACAAGAGTGACCACAAGTACAAGTACAAGCAGAATAGTGGTAGCAGTAGTAGTAGTAGCAGCAGCAGCAGCAGTAGCAGCAGTAGGCTCCGGAGTAGGAGTCGGAGCCAGGAGTAGTTACTACAGGAGTAGGAGTAGGAATCAGTACCAGAAGTGGAAGTACCAGCAGTAGAGAGTAGTAACTAAGTAGTAGCATCAATGACTCCAACTCGAAAACTAATGAGCATCCTCGTTAGTGCACAAGGACTAGATGCGTCGGATGAGGTACACATAGCGTTAATGCTTAAACACCTTAGGCTGCGACAACTTAACATTTTTGCCTCATGGCTGCTATGGATAGCAGCACACACGTCACACTGACGGACGACGAGCGAAAGAAAGGCCGCAATCAGCTGAATGTTGTATTTTTTTGGAGCGAGCCCAAGATATCGCTGGAAGACTGACAGAGGCAGAAGCTGAGAAGAGGCATTGCGGAGTCGTGTAGCATCATAGGCGTGGGAGCTGAGTCCCGAGGGCCAGAACCAAGCAGGATAAAAAGAAGCAAAAGCAGCGAAGCAGGGCATGGCTCCTTGTCCTTGTTCTGGCCATTGACCTGGCACTGATACCCGAGTCCCAGTCTCGGTCTGCGAAGCAGGTTTGTTAAATGTCCGAAGTCGAAACCTACTTGGCATACTCTCCTATTAAATAGTATTCGTACCATTTCGTATCCTTGAGCCCTAGGTTCAAAGGAATGGGCAACAGTCGGTACCAACAGCGTCTTTCTGGTCCTTTGCTCAGCCAATTCCGAAACGAGCCCTGCCTTGGAGACGGGCTTCGTCACCTGCAAACCCGCAAGGGCTGAGCTCAGAAAGGGGCTCAGGGGACTCCAGATGCGACCTCTTGGAATATCCGGAAGACATGAAAGACGACAAAGGCTGTGGTGCCGGGTACCACCTGCTACTGGGTCTGGCTACCTGCCCTCTTGAGCTTCCCAAAAGCCGGGCCTCGGCTGTCGCCCTGGAGGAGGTGATATCCTTAGATCAAGGCGGAGGAGGTGCATGTGAGGAAAGCTGCCAAAGTTCCAAAGTGCATCCCGGCCTTCAGGATCCTTCAAGCTACAGATGCCACCCATGCGGCCGAGCTTCGTTATCGGAGTCTGAGTTGCCCGCGCTGAATGGAAGAACATCCTCGCAGAGAAGAGAGCCACGGACACGGATTGCCAAGTGTGGATCAAGACTGGGGTCTTGATCACGACTCAGCTGACTAGGCGGATTCGGAAATCATGTAAATCGTCTGCTGCCTACCGTGGCAGCGCAGAGACGAACAACGCAGAACATCACGATGTGGACGACAGCGCAGCCAACGCTTTCGGAAAAAGCCGCACATGTAACGCTAACGACCATCAGCGAGGAGAGACGAAAAAACACAAACCGAGCACAGCACTCTCTGCATCTGATGGGCAAGATTCTCAAGTGAAAGCAGAACGCCGGGTCACAGGGGTATCCAAGTGTCCCAGGCCGCACACCAAGGAACACAACTGCGAGAAGGCCCGGTTGCGACTCTGAGAACTCTACTGGAGCACCATGGATACACTCGTCAGACAAAACTTGCTGGTTCAGCACCATCCATATCTCCTTCATTCACTTGATGCACTGAGTGGTGCCCATCCTAACTTAACTGTATTCTTCAAACCATTGGGGTAAGCCTCAGATCAATCGTCCGGGGAATGCTGTCGCACGACTGAACGTCCGTTGCAATGTTGTTTATCCTACGGAGATGACGTTGGGAGCCTTCTTCCAAGCCATGTTACCCGATGTTACCCGGTCCCATGTTGCGAATCATGCAACTATCAAGAGTACCGTCAAGCCCCTGCTACTCTAGTCTGTCCCGCTACTCTTATTGCCTTGGAACCACTTTCGTTTATGTTCATGCGACCCGCCTGTTTGTGTGGGCTTCTTTCTACTCCTGTCGAAACCATTAGTGCCACTGATACCTTTACCTGCCCTTCTTGTGTCTGCCGATAGTACTGTCAGCGTTCGAGCTTGCCAAGTTCGGCGAATAAACAATGACAAATATTGCTGTTGATACTGAGATTTAGGTTGTCGCTCTGAACTGCTTCATCCCGGAATGACCTTCTTCGCGATAAATAAGGTAACTTTCACAACATCATCGCGGAATTTTCGCGGAGGCATATTTACATAACTTTGCAAGTTAAAAACCTGAATTATGAGCTACAAGCTTCTCGATGGCAGGTTTGACGGGCATTACGATTAAGAGCTTCCGGCAAGCTTCCTAGGGGTTTGAGGGCTGCATGAACGGTACAATAGTTGGAAAGGGCTGGTTAAGGCCGTCTGAAGTCGTCTTAGGGTTTATATTCTTAAATATTCTTGACAAAGTTTCCTGAAAGTTTCCCGTTGCAAAGCGGCATAATTGATTGAGAGTTTCTGTGAGCCTTTCCTACAGGCTTCAGGGCTTCTGTAGGGCTGCTTAAGGCCGTCTTAGGGGTTGGATTTCTGATCAGGTCTCGGAATCCTTAAAGAACCCTCAAAACAACCCTGCAAGGAACCCTTCAAACCAACCCTCACAGGAAGCCTTAAAAGAACGGACGGAGGATTGTAAAGCTTTCTTCATGGGGCTATTCCAGGGATCGTAAGGGCTTCCTAAGAGGTGTCCCTTTCGCCAGCCACTCGCGAAATGCACCAATGTCCATTGGGGGGGTGGCCTTGATCTGGCTACGTCGACTTTAACGTCACTTACGCGCTCAACCCCGATTTTTGGGTTTGTCGTTGCTTACACTTAGGATTGACGGCGCTACGAGGCACTGCACATCGCGTGCACCGGAGCAGTAGCAATCGTATGTAGGACGTAAGCGGTGGGAGGTAGCAGCCGCTGGCGGTGGGTCGTATAAGCTTGTGAGTAGGTATGGCCGGTAGTGGTAGTAAGTGGTGACCGCAGCAACAGTAGCTAGGAGCAGAGCAGCAGCAGCAGCACCAGCAGCAGCAGTAGTAGTAGCAGCAGCAGCCGGAGTAGTAACAACAGTAACAGCTGCAGTCGTAAAAGCATGAGAAGCCGTGGGGTGTCGTCGTCGTAGTAGTAGTAGTAGCAGCAGCAGCAGCAGCAGCAGCAGCAGTAGCACCCGCCATACTAATCTTAACAACAACAGCAACAATAGCAATCATAGTAGTAACAGTAATCACTGCAATAAGTAAGAACAATAGCAAGAAGAAGAACAGTAATCATAGAAATCGTGGTAAAAAGAGTGATAATCGTGATAATAATGGTAATGGTAGTTATAGTCATAATAGTAACAATAGTAATAATAATGATAGTAGTACTAAAAAAACAGTAATAATAGTAGCAATACTAGTAATAACAGGAATAATTGTAATCGTAACAATATGAATAGCAGTAGCAACAGCAATAGTAATAGTACGTAATAGTACGGCAAGCAGACTAGCAGATAACTTTCGCAAAAAACAATTAACTTTAGCGGCACCATCGCAGAACTTTGGCGACGGCATATTTGGCAATGCAGCTGGCCTTTCATAAGAATTGTGGCTCAAGGGGCTTTAGATCAACTACCAAATAGTCATTGATGCGTTGCCCTGAATACTTAGAATGGTCGTATTCAGTGTTCATGGGTCTTCTGGCTTGTGATACTTCCAGCGGTACTGCTAGCAGATTCATCCACGAGGGTGGTTGACATTCAGTCCAACGCCGGGACCGTTCTTGCGTACTTTATAAGCGCCATTCTGATTCTCCATGTCTCTGCTGCCCCTTTCAATTCCCCACACACCACATACTCTATGCATACTCTCCACCCTTCATGGCCAACATCACTAACAAGCGCTCAAGGTCCGCATCTCGATAGGAACTCGTGTCTTAGTATCACTCGCAATACACACTCCCGTTTTCAGACAAGCATCATCAGTGTGCTTCTTGACAACATATGGCTTTTCTGCAGTGCCATTGCCTTTCGGCTTCCTGCGAGACAGCGCAGATCTCGACAAGAACAAGAGTCGTATTCAGTGTTGAAAAAGCTCTTGTGGATAACGCTGGTGCTATCTCCGGCACGTCCCGGTCATGTTGAGTGCATGGTGAGAGGTGCATACGCAGGCCTTCCGGTGGCCGGCTGCAGATTCTCAATTGTCTCTATGTCGCTGACGGCATCCGCCCACCTGTGCTTGGGATGAACTACGAAGCTCGAAGCATTCTTTGCGAGGAGGGTGCATCTCATGCGGCAGATGAGCTCCCTTCCGCTGAACAAGCTCCCTCCTTTAACTGTCTACATAGCCTTCTGGTCTAAGCCTAACAACTACTTAGGCGAGCAACAACCCTGGCTCACTCGATGCGCCATCTGAAAGTGAAAGGCTTCCGATGCTGCTGAGATGCGCTTGTGGGGACAACGGAGAAGCAGGAGTATGTACTGTCCGCACGTTCGCGTGCTCCTGACATGCACATTGCTGACCTCTGCATATTCCCTGCTCAAGGTCTCAAGGCCGACAGAAAGCGAGCATCAGAAGTTTGATGATGGCTCTGGGCACATCTCCCAACAAGCCCCAGCACACCTGGCCCTGGCACGGAATCGACCCTTGCACACTTGCACGCACATGTGTCGATCTCGCTCGGCAGCGTCGCCGTGCCAAGCCGTGTGCACATGACCTCATGCGCGCGAAGATGTCCACTTAGGGACAGTGAGCCTGACTGCCATCAGTATCAAGAGCTCGTGCGCCCCGGGGGGGGACGAAAGCTCAAGAAGCAGCGCAAGCCTGCACCGGCGGTGCAAGAACCCCTGATCAGCAGAAACGGCTCTCATACCCAAGCTCCTGGACAGGAGCTTTCGTGATCAGGCTGAGCAGAGAAAGATTATTTCACGTTCGTGCACGGACTTGACTCATCCTCCCATTGTCAAGCAAACGTGACCGTCCGATGCAAATGCTTTAGGCTCTTGGATGCTCTTGCATGCCCTTGGCCAGCCAGGGGCATAATGCATGCCTGCTGTTGGTCGATGGGGCGTGGGTCCGCGACGTAGGTCGGAGGTAAGGGACACGGAGGAAGACTTCGCCATAACTGGCAAGACCGACTCCATAGACCACACATACTTTGAGTTAGGCTCGTCATGAACTCAGAAAGCCCAGGCACGCGCAGAGCTGTCACATTGGTAGGCTGGACAGGCCTTGGAGTCGCTGTTTCCAGCAAGCAGCAAAGCAAGAAAAGAGATATGGAACACTGGCCAAGAGACGGCTCAATGCAGTCAGAACACTCATCCTGCTTCACTGTCAGCTCCCCTCTCAGACGCTCGTTGTCTGCAGCAAGCTTCTCCTGACAATGGCTCATGCGGCTTCAGTGGGTTTAGTGTCTTATGCCGGCCGGGAGTATCTGGAAAACAGCCGCGGAGAGGCTGTGCGCACGAAGCAGTTGAGCAGACGTGCTAAAACACTTGCTTCACCAAGGCAGCAGTGCGGCCAAAGCAACGAACTCTGATGCCAGGAAGTCAAGTCTTTCGCGGATGTCTGACGACAGGTGGTCGTGCTTCGGCAAGTGGGGCATGGCTGCCGATTCAGGCTGTCACCCTGGACCTTACCACGGCGCTTCAAGCTTCATGTCCTGCTTCCTCATGCAGCCTGCGAAGTTTCGGGGCTGGTGTTCGTCCTGATTTTTAGCCATCATGCCTTCTCGAGCCCAACTCTGCAACTAACGGATTGACGATGCTACCTCACAAAGCTTTCCACAGGCAGATGGAGATCGTCCAAACCAAAATCGGCGCTCTTTTCTGCCCGCGTCTGGCGCAGCTCGTCAAGGTGGGAGCAGCACGGTCTTTGCGTGCTGTGGGGAGATGCGGTACATGTACATTGGGACAGTGTCCGTGTGCAGCCGCGGCACCTGATCAAGCTGCGGCTTCCGAATTTGCGTGGCTTCCTAGGCCACAGTACACATCTGTGTTATGAAATCTGCTTACCGACACTTTCTGACAGTGTCAACACCCGACCGTGCCATCATGAAGCTTACTCTGCTCGTGTCCGTGCTGCATAAGGCTACAGGCAAAATCAAGCAAAACAAGCGCAGCATGCCACATTGCAGAGCCCAAACAGATCTCGCATCAAATGGGGGCTTCCCGCCTCGTCAAAGTTCCTGATCGGATGCGTCACACGAAGCACCTTCGCCCTTTCCGCCAGCTGAGGTGCTCTCAGCCTCGGATGGCAACTGCCACCATGGATGTGGCAGAGGTAGCAATCTTCGCGACAAAATCACGAGAAGGATGCACTTGCCGCATGCACGTGCGATAAATCGGAAGACAACCTTCCGGCTGAAGACTGTTGAAAGTGCTTAAAGCTACGTCTTATGTATTTTACACAAAGTACTATACTATGTAGAAATATAGAGCTTCAAAGGCCGTGACGTCTGGAAAGGAAACATAATTCGCTGCGATCTCACCACTGTTTGGGCTCCCGACGCTGACGCGAGATGCTGGTTTGGGCTTCTCCTGGAAAGCAAAGCGAGAGCTTGGCGAGGTGCCTGTGCAACCACGTGTGTAATGCGTGTAATACATCTGTTTATTACACCTGGCAGGGGATGAGCCGAGCCGAGTCAATCGAGCCAAGCCGCACCTAGGAAAATCACGGGCGTAATTTGCTACAGTTACCACGCCAACGTAAAAGCATGCCGCTCCAATCTTGTCGTACATGATGTAGTGCTTTAATTGTGCATGATAAAGAAAACATCAACTCGTGCATTGCTTCTTGGAGTGCTGCATCATGTAAGTTGCATCAGTCATTGTTGTATCGTATACCATGTTTCGCTAAACTACCTACAAAAAAAGCATCTTGCAATGTTGTGTTACATTACACGGCGGTATGGTATCTGTATCGTTGCAGCTGTAATAAACAAACACAAACACCATGTCATCTTATTATGTCATATGCAGCTTATCCAACAGCAACTTTCGTTAGATGGAACTACACTGCATAAACACAAACTGATTCAGGCGTGCAGCACACGTCTGAGCGAAATGCATGTGGATGCTTTGGGCTCAGCAGGCACGACAACTCAGCGGTGGCCTGCTTGAGCATGAGAAACTCTGTTCCGTCCACCTCACACTTGGACTATCTTGGACTGTGGCTTAGTGGAGACAGAGAGGCGTCAAGACTCTTAAGTGTCCTTGTGCGCACAGAGCGAGGATGTGAGCTTACCAAGACATCGCAAAATCATGTGCAAATCTCCGTGCCTTGGAGTTCGGCAGATCTTGCAAAGCCCCAACTTCTAATAAGTTCCACTCTCCATGCCAGGTAGCGACAGGCAAAGGCTGGTCGTTGATCGCCTTGCGACGCTTCCGCGCCTCAGAAAATAGTCTCAAGATGCCTCTCCAACTTTCAGGATGTCTCAACGATTCAATAAGTTGGGCGTGGCTGAATTGCTCGGAGTGTTGGGAAGAGGTTTCCCCTCCCGATCTAGACGGTGTCTTTGTGTTGCTGTACACTGACAGCGGGGGAACAGTGCCATGAGTCATGCCGCTGATGCAAAAACTGGCCAGGATGGAGATGTCGGCAGCTGTCTAAAATTGCATGACTTACTCCTTCACCCACCGTTGCTGCTATGCCATCACATCGGTTTGTGTGTTGTCAACTTTGCAACATGTGCTCGTTCAGTATGGAAAATCCAAAAATATGCCGGTGGAATGTCGAACAAGCAAAGCTGACTTGGCACATACGTCATGGTGCGTCATGTCTTTTCCTGCGAAAGAACTGCAAGAACTCAGTACAGCCTTGCTCCACTTTGAAGTGGCTCTGCACTCAGGATTAAGGACGGTTCGTTTGGAAAGTGAGCTCCTGCTCAACCGCAACCACAGAGAATGGAGCCCAACTCCTTTCCCAAGCGTCCGAGACGCCCAGAACCCAACTCCTGGCCCCCGGGAGAAGGCCCTGTCAAACCCCGAATTTAGAACCGCCCCGTCCCTCTGACCCACCCTGCCTCAGCTTCGCTAGGCGGCTCCCCCTCTCGCAAGAAAGCCTTGGAGACACCATCATCGTCATCATCATCATCATCATCATCCAGCAGCATCATAATCAGCATCATCACAGTCATCATCAGCATCATTTTTCTTCCCACGCGGTAGAAAGCAGCATCGTCTGTTCTGCGAGCGCCTTTACAACCACTTACGGTCGGCCATTCGAGATGGCTGGCACTAATGCGTCGTGTCGGCTATCATTCACGAAGCACAGCAGGCAAAAGGTCGCGCGGAAGCGCCATTTAAACAAGATATCAGCCGTTGTTAAACAATGGCCGATGCTGCGCGATGACATGTGACATTCAATCATCCATGGTTTCAAGCGACACTATCAGCATGGTAGTATGCCACTTGGGGGTGCACTTGTTGCTGCCGTCTGTGATCTGCTGTCGTGACTCCAGAATCAGAATACGGACTCGTGACTCCAGCCGATTCAATGCTTGTTGGAGTGCCTCCAGGCCGTCTGCCCGGCCTTGCTTCTGCATTTGGATCAGCGACACCCAGCTTGCCAACCAATCTATGTCTTCCTCACCCAGAGAGTACGTGGCTGGGTGTTCGGTCTCATGGAAAACGCCAGCTCCGCTTGTCTCGAAGAACTTCTGCAAGTCCCGCGTGCAGTTTTCGCAAGTAGTAAGACTCATGAACCAAACCAGCAGTAGTAAGAGCAACAAGTACATATACATATGCATATGCATAGACATATACATGTACATATACACACACACATATATATATATAACACACACACGCGCGCACCACTGGTACTTGAAGCTTCGATATGCGAAGTAACCGAGGCAAAGGCCGCTTGCCGAACATCATCTGCTGTGATCAGACTGCTTCCCTGCAGCCTCGAACCATGCTGTGCCCTCTGCTGAATGACGTGAATTTGCGATCCTTTCATGGGATGCGCACTGGTATGGACTAGTGGAAACTCCTGACCGATACACTACCTTGCGCAACGCCCAGCTTTCAGCAAGGTGAAGGGCTTATCATGATCAGCCGCCCTTCCAGGGAGACCTTATATATCAAGGATGCTACCGTTCGACTTCAGTGTCTGTAATCGATGTGCTTCTTCTTGAGGCATTCGTACAGGGGGGCTTCTTGATCCAGCCGCCATGTCCCTGTCTCGGGGTCTGCAAACAAGAGTCCTGTCACCGAAGGGTTTGTGTACAGGGCGCTTTTTTTGTTTTCTTCTCAAGTGGTGGCTGTCGCGTCAGGCCAGCAACCGACAGGCCGCAGTTGTGAAAGTACGCACTGTGTTCTGAGAACTGACCGAGTGCGCCAGCTATAAAGCTAGTTTGATGCAATGATGAAAAGAAAAGGCACAAGAGCGTACATATGAGTCCCCAAATCCTAAACCCTGTCATATCAGATAGGGTGCTAAAAGGCCTGCTTACGAATGGTAGAAAAATCTCTCCGGAGCCTTGATGCTCCAGCGAGCAGCTCAGCCGCTTCAGCACAGGCAACCTCAGCCAGGCTGCCAGCAAGACCACGACGTGATGAGAAGAATAAAAGTAATAATAACAAAAAATAATGATCGTAACAATCAGTAACCATAACAACGATAATAATAAAGAAACTCTTACTTCAAGGCAGCTGACATGAAGAGCAGGGCTTTTCCGAGCTACTTGGACCGTGGCTCCCAGCAACAGATCGGCCGTCTCCTCCTCCCAATCATCCACGCCTCGGGAGAGGGGGCAGATGCATTGCGACGGGTACGGTCTGAGCGGGAAAATGGTATCCGCCCAAATCGTCAGACATCAACTCCCGCCGGCGACAGGCATGTGCCAACGGATATATTACAAATTAATTACAAGCAAAGAACTGGACTTTTGCATTTTTCTGACTGCTGAGAGCACCATCGATCTACGGAATGACATTCTGAATTTGGCAGGTTTTGTGGTCAGGCATTAGCATCCCGGCTTCCACAAAGGCTCTACATCTTTGGAAATCTCGTGAGGGGATCTCACTGTGCTCTGCGAGCAAACGAGTCGTCAACAGGCTATAAGCTCACCTTCATAGAAGCCTGGCATTTCGATTCACTTAATTCAGCGAAGCTACATCTAAATTAAATCAAACAACTAGCAACAGCTCTCACTGCAAATGCAGGGAAACCAGAGCAAGATTTGCACACTTGTGCAAAAGAGCTTGGACCACGGTCTCGTTCACATCCTGCGACAGAAGCAAAACGATTGTTCACCTGGGTTCCTACTAGTCAAGACTGCAAAAAGGCAGCAATACAAGTGCCCTTTGTTTTTCAGGAAACTCCATGCAGAAACCTAAGATGCTGGGATTGCACCTTCGCATCTTCTGTCCTGTATAACGCTATGGTACCTCAAAAAATCAAGGAAACATCAGGGGCCATCAGTAAGCTCTCAAACCGCAGAACATATCTTGGCAGCAACTATATGACATCTTAGCTTCTGCGGACGTTGCTATTGCTGCTTGCATTCGTCCATTTAGGCCCATGCCGGCCTGGGCCAAGATCCCGACGACCTCCGTGAGAGCTGGAAGCTGCAGAAGTGCTTCTACGAGCTCCTGGTGCAGCAATGTCCTCAAGACCGGGACTGCCAAGCAAGACGTTCCCAGAAGACGCTGTGGACTCGGCAGCACTGTGATAGGCTTCACGAGGCGATGAACAGTTTAAAGACATGCCAATCATGCTATACGACCAAAAACCCTAAAGGCATTCGGACGAATATCTTGCTGTTCTGACCTGGACTCCAGTTGCAAGTGTCAAGTAAAACGCGATGAGAACGTTGGGCAACATTGCTCTTGCTCCGCCTTGCTCTGCCCCTTGCGCGTTCTGTAGCGCAGAACGGCTTGTACAGGTGACAAGGGGTAAATCGCCACCGTTGTCTAGGTCAAAAGCTGGGGTGTAGAAGCACATGATCTTGCGCTTCATGGGTGTTTCATGGATCTATCAGAAGTAGAAAACTAAAAGTCATGATTAGCCCCACTGCACGCCACAAAGTCGTACTAAACCTACTGAACTGCAGAGGCCAAGGCCGGGGCCCTTCCAAAGACACGGACTCCAACTTGCGGCAGGCACGGAGAATCTGGAGCAGCCCCTGAGGACTCTACATCTTGTTGGAGGGCTCGTGGAGCTTACGAAGATTCTTCGGCCGCCAGGCGCAGTATCGCTGCTCCATCAGAGCACGTCTATCCATTGCAGCAACGATGCAAGTGCAGTATTAAAACTCGCCGACCAAACAGATGAACATCTTGTATCTGTGAGAACTATGGTAACTATAGTGAGGGAAAAGTTCTTGTTTCTGTGGCCAAATATTCTGAAGAAACATGTTACTTAGACCCAGGGCTGGGCAGAAGCGGAAGCAACAAGAAGGGGCCTTAGTTACGTACACGTCTTAAGTGTGAAGCAGATCAGAAAACCCCAGAAATACCGGTGTAGTTTACGGATGCCTTCAACAAATCAGGGAACTTTCAACATTAAATTGCGGGGACAAGGGAATGGCCCGAAGCAAGGAAACAGTGGTATTTACGGGGGATTCGGAACCAGGTACAGCAGAACTGTGCAAAACACGTGGGTCCCTTATGGCCGCTTAGCCCAAAACCCGGTATACCCCTAAACCCTGAAACCCTGTCCTTGTGGTCTGCAACCGGCCGGAGATGGTCTCTTTCATCGAAGACCAGCGGGGCCGGGGCGATCTGAGGGCAAGGTGCACCCGCCCTAAAGCAAAATAGAATGCATCATTAAGTACGAATGTATGTGTATATATATGTATATATATATATATACACACACACACATATATATATTACTACGGTACGGTAAACCCTAAACTCTAAAGTCTACTCTAGCATACCAGAGTTTCCTGTACAGTTTTCCATGAGCTGACGCAGTATAACATGGGATCATAAACCCTAAACCCTAAACCCCCAAATTTTCGAAGGCTTCACTTAGGTGCGCCAGCTGTTTTGGTTTGCGGCGATGTGTGGCTTGAGGCAGCAGGGCGGGCAGGGCAGGGCAGGGGCAGAGCCAGGCAGGGCAGGGCAGGGCAGGGCAGGGCAGGGCAGGGCAGGGCAGGGCAGGGCAGGGCAGGGCAGGGCAGGCGGGGGGCGCCAGAGCAAAAAGTTTACTGCTTAAGCGTCAGCCCTGGAAAGACAAGAGCTGCTCAGGGCGCCAGCTACGCTGGCGGACCCTAAACCCTAAACCCTGAAACCTAAACCCTAAACCCTGAACCCGAAACCCTAAACTCAAAACCCTTAACCCTAGTACAGTGGTGCTGTGGCCTCCAAGACCTTCAGTCCCGTGAAGGTTGGAACGGCCTCACAGCTCATGAGATGCACTCAACCCAATATGGAATATAGCATAGCATAAAAGAGGAGCCATGAATATAGTACAATACAATATTCTGTAATATACTGTACTATAATGGTATACTATAATATGCGATAATAAACTAAGTTTCCGCTTGAGCAACTACTGTAACTAAGCAGCGGCAATGAGCCTGGAGATCAGATTCGTTGGGGCTGTGGAGAACAAGCTCCTCTAATTCGACGAAGGGCCCCGGTGCCAAGCGCTTGGCACCAGCGAGAGCCGCAACAGCAGAGGGCAGGCCTGATACCTCCAAGCGTCGCAGCCTCTTTGCTGCAAGCAGAGATTCTCCTGTGAGCTCTTCCCCACTCCCTCCAAGCTTCCTCTTTCGGGTCTCGGGCCCGATGAGTGAGAGCTCCTGCAGACCAGCCTGCCTTGCTAGGATGGGTGCAAGGCCGGTATCGGTAAACTTCCCCCGAAGTCTCAGACGGCGCAAGCGGCCAACAGGGATGCGCCCCAAAGCGGCCTCTAAGTCGGCGTCCGTCGCACAATCATCGCTTTTCCCGGGACCCTGGGGACCCGGGTGCCAGGACGCAAGGTCAACAGATACCCAGGCGTCACCCGAGGCCTCGAAGGCCTCATGTAAGGTTTGCCGGCAACTGGCACCCCAAATCAGGAGCATGCGCTTGGAAAGGTTAGAGGCCACTTCTGCAAACATAGGGCACGCCATTCCAGGTGTGATGTCTACAAGCAAGCACAAGAGATGAAGATCTTATGTGTTGCTCAGATCAACAATCGCGCGACGATTGCCGGTTATACAGTGTATACGGCTCTCTGCATGCCTGCTTCTGCGCAAGAGCACATGAACTCGGCAGTTCTCTGCCATGCACAGCCTTGAACTTGTGGCTCCAGGCCCTGCTTGATCCAGCAAATTGCAAGGAGCAACCCGACGAGTACTATGGTCAGCATGGGGCAGGATTGCATGACATCAATCCAACGTCAATTTGGACAAAAGCTTCTGTACCAGAGCAGAGGCTTTCAAACCTGTCTAAAGAACTGCGGTAATCCGGAAATTATTTCACAGCTTCCTACAAGTGGCTGCATCACCCGCACCAAGGACATGGCCAAGTTGGCTCAGCAGGGAGGTGACAGCTTTCCTGGCCGCCTCACGGATCGCACTTGTCGCGTGATGTACAGCAGACACTGCGACACGGAGAGAGACACGCGCACCTGGTAAGATTTGTGCAAAGATCTTTTTGCTGGACTTCACTTGCCAGGCCCTGCAAAACATGTTGTGCTGTTGCTCTCCTCAGCAGCATCCGTGTCCGTCTCGTCTTGAAATAGACTGCTTTCAAGCTCCAGTGCGCGGTGTCGTCTCCGTCCGGCTGCTTATTGCACGAAGAATGTCCCCGCGATCCCTGCGTCAGTCTGCTAGCCTATCGAACACAGGCTATCCGGGAGCGAACCTCATTCGGAAATCTGATGCTAGGCCATCCCTCGCTGGATCAAAGGCTAGGGCTGGTGAAGATGGACCAGCCGGTGCTTGAGGCAGTGGCAAGGAAGTCGGTATTGCTGTGGCCTGAACCACAGCTTGAGGCAACGACGTGCTAGAGCTGTTTCCAAGGGGAGCTGCGGTAAGTGGCGTGTCCAGCTGTCGCCGCGGGATTCCACCCTTTGCAGCAGGAACTTCGCGACTCAAGCGCCTCGTCAGGACTTCGCTGGGCTGAAATGCCAGTGGATGTAGGGACAGAGTGCCGCGAAGCCATTCGCACAGCGCTTCACGGCTAAAGAACATGGAAAAGTCTGGCAGCGAAGCTGCGGGATATTTTGCCAAGCGGCTCTCCATTACATGCAGGTATGCAACTTGCACTGTGTGTCCGAAGGTGCCGCATCCACGATCCACATATATACAAGCATTGGGGTCAACATTTACACCCGTGACCTGACCCAGTGGGTTACGCCAAACATAATCCACCCAATCGGGCTGGCAACTGAAGCAGACCATGCCTGCTACGAAGGCCAAGAGGTGCAGGATGCAGGGCTTGGCATGCGAAAGTGCGCTGCGCATTGCGTCGATGGCCCTGTCCAAAAAATCCTGTTCGAGCTGTACTGCATCTTCAAAGATGTCTGAGCTTCGCAGTTTGAGCATCAGAGAGAGGTACTCTTCCAGAACTTGGACCTGCTTGTCAAAGCGATCTCTGTGTGCATCGAAGATTCGGAGCTGAAAGGGCTCAAGACTCGCACTGCAGCACGAGGCTTTCTGGTTCCACAATGGGCATCTGAGCAGGTCGTGATGGACAGAAGGTCGGGGAAGGAGCTGAGCTAGGTCAGTGGCGCCGGTGTGCCACTGGATACGGAACAAGGGGTTCATGCACTGAAAGCTCGCCTCCTCTGTGGCCGTCACTTCGAGCAGGTCAGTGGATTCTGTAAGGCTCGTAGAGGCCACGGCACAGAGAGCGAAGGCCCGCGCCATGGCAGCGAGAGGTGCTATCCGAATATCATCCGATGCTCTCGAGATCCACGATATCCTGCATCCTTTGGCCCGGACATGTCGGGGAGCAGAGTAAAGTGCTGCGGGCACTCACAGCTCAACACCGTTTATATTGCGGAAGGTTCGCAGGAATTTCAGGCCCGGTTTCAAGACGAGTCGGCCCTTGACCCCACCCGCTAGCCGTGGACAAACAAAGCCATAGTTGCAGTAGCAAGCAATGAACTTCCGGCGGCGCAAAGGCTAACTGCCTGATGGGAATTACTCAAAGTTGATCCTTGGACTTACCTTTCCTTGCATGCCTGAAGTCTCATTGCAAACTGTGCTTCCCTGGATTAAAGGATGGCTGCTGAGCCCTGATGGCTATTTTCTGCTCCGCTCACAGGAGATTGCTGTTGACTTCCAGTGCCTCCGCTGTGGCCGTGTGCGCCATCGCCGCGCACACATGGTTGGATAGTTACTTAGAGGCAGCATGCAAGAAAGTCCTATGCCAACCTAGCCACCAAATCATGGATACCGGTGTGATGATGTCAATGTGTTGCAGGCAGTGCGAAAGTTAACGTGAGCATGATTGGCATGATCACATCTGTGAGTGAATCCACTTGATGTAAGCATAGACCTTCGCGAACAGTTTACAGTGCTATCCCCGAATTAATGGGTGTATCGGGGACTCAACTGCCGGCAACCTTCTGCAATGCACTTTTTTGCGGAGAAGCTTGCATCATGTCAATCTTCGCAACATGCGGCGCAATCCGCAAGCACTGACAGCCGCTGCAACACTGAATACGCAGCAGCTCTCAGCAGGATGCAAGCCGAGAAATCTCCGTGCTCCACCGGCTTCCGAAACAACAGTTTGATGCTCCCCAACCCCATCCGTCACATGCGATCTAAGTGTGGAACACCCTGTTGCGGGGGCCGATGTTTCGGGCGCTCGGAAGTCGCGACAGACAGCCGGGCCGGCACTGCCATCTTCCAAGTTTCGCAAAGCTCCCCTTGGCTGTCTTGTGCCGAGCCTCAGCTCACAGGCCGTGTGCGGATGACGAGCCGATTGAGTTGTCGTGGGCATGCGGTTGGTGCTTCTAGGCCAGTGAGACTGTGCAGTGTCAGACGACTTGGGGAATTTCGAATCTCGCTCCTGCTCTATTGAATCATTCTCAATGTCCTGAGCCTTCCCCACACTGCACCGAGATGCTGGGACGTTGTGATCAGCTCTTTGCCTCGCTTGCCAAGCCAGCAACCTCGATCGGAAGGTGTCCGACTTCTCTCACAGATTGTTGAGCGCGTGAGTTGTTTGCGGTAAGTAGCTAAGGCTAGCTTGAAGAGGTATGCCAGTCTTCTGGTGGTACGATCCGAAAATTTGCATCCTGCGCTTTGAGAAACCACGAAGCAAACTTCTTCTATAAATTCCCAGAAATCCCCAAACCAAGACTGACGGCTCTTTGCGGAAGGGCGGCTTATCGATCTGCTGTTGTGCCTCCTCCACGGCAGACCTTGGCCAGGGGCTGGCTTACAAACATCATTAGTTATTAAGTTACTTGTTATGTTCAGTAGATGACACCAATCAAAAGTTTCGGCGCCTGGGATCCAGGTCTTTGGAGGCGCAGGTTGTTACAGTAGGAGAAGTGGTCCACGCACTGGCATAGCGATGTGATCAACGAAAGGACTCGTCGATCTGCCCTGGAGAGTTGTTGAGAAGGCAAACGATATGCACTACATATAATAAAAAATAAATATATGTAACATAATATGTATGTATATATATATATATATATGCATATATATATATATATCAGCACTTTGCCCCAGCAGCCCAAAACCGAACTCTTCCAGCTTAGATCTCAAGCCAACCCGAGTCCGAATGACACATGCAACGAGTGACTTGAGCCTCTTGCCTTTGCCGGCCGGGGTCTTGCCCTGTGGCCAAGGGCTGCTGTGAAAGGGGCTCGCAGAGTGCCTCTTTCCGAGCAAGCTGCCTGGCCAAGGAAGTCTCCTGTGCAATTGACTGAAACACCAAGCTGTTTGCCTCTTCAAGCGATCCGGGACGAAGCCCTTTTGTTGCCAGATGCTTGTCCATGCCGCACTCGTGTGCCTTGCGAAGCGACAGAACTGCCAAGATGGGCAACAACAACCTGCCTGTGATCTTCGACGCTCCGACTTTCTTGCATGTCTTCGCATTGTGGACACTGGCAAAGATCATGCCGGTGAGCATTAGCAATCCTACCCCCTTGTGAGACTCACGGAACTGGCGCAAGCCCGCAATGTATTTCTGAAAAGACTTGTCAGGATCGCTACGGCTGCTGTCACGGCTAGTTCCGAAGGTCCTTTGCATGGCCTGGGTGCATTCTGCAGGCCGTGGAAAGTCAACTGAATTTGAGCACGGATCGCGCTCTCGCCCGGATGCCCAGAAGCACCTCTATAGCGAGTGCGGCGGCCGCTTACATTGGCTTCGAAGAGATTGCAGCAACCATCGTCAGGCCAGGTTTCTTCTCGATGCGCTTCATGTCCTGGAGTTTCAGGCAGCAAAGGAAGTCAGGTGGACCTAATGCCGCCTTCATACCTAGGACTGTTAAAGCTACCGCTCTTGAGATTGGCTTGGCTTTGGAGGAGCTTAAGTGAGGGCGGCACGCCACTGAGCAGAGACTGGGAAGACAGTCCGCAACAAAGTCGACTTGGGAGCGGGCTCAGAGGAGATGCAGCGGCCTTTGGCGCTGTGCAGAGGCTGCTCGCAGTGTTTCCAGAGTCTCGGCTTTGAGACCGTTGGCGCTGAGGTCGAGAGATTCAAGCCTGCAGACTCGCCACTTGAGACCAAAAACCAGACCATAAGACGCCGCAAGAGAATGTGGGGTTAGTTTAGGGTGGTAGACGCATCCCTTAATCTCACAACCTTCCCGCCTTGGCAAGCATGGCAGCACCTCCACCAAGGCCTGCGGCTTTGAAGTTTCCATTAAAGACTCGAGACCCTGGCCATGAATGTGACCTGCATGCCTGCAGATTGTGACGATGTCTCTGGTGATTAGCAGACATTGACGAAAGACTGCGAGTTCATCTTTTCCCTGTCCCTCTGCTGCCAGCCTCCACAGCAGCTGAGCCGAGCTGGTTTCCACGGAGGTTCAAGCGGCGGAGCTTGCTGGGCGGCCCAGCTTTCATGGCCGCCAGAAGCGCAGCGAGGCCTAGGCTTGGACTAGGAGCTCCCCAAACCAAGGCGACTGCAGAAAGCTTAAAAGAGGTTTCCGTGCCATTGAAGCGTAACGCCCACTGGGTCAGGCCTGCGTCGCTGATGTCATTCCCACCCAGGTGCAGCCGCTGCAAACCCAGCTTTCGAAGAGGAACCCACGCAGCTGCCACTGCAGCAGCAGCAGGGTCGCCAAGGCCGGCACCACCCAAGTCTAGCACGCGGTCGCGACGGCGGAATACCTATCAACAGCAGTAGCACAGGTTCACCGGAGAAGCAAGGAATTCCTGAAGTGGAAAACACAAAATGTGCAACATATGCAGCTTCTTCCGGGGGCCCCACGTCCTGCAGAAGCGCGTGCTGCTCCACAGAGACCAGCGCCAAGCTTCCGGCTTTGGAAGCCTTCGAGGCAGCAACCCGCGAGGCCCTCGCCTTTTGCTTCGGCTTGCGAGAAAGGCGTGCGGACACCCGCAGGGACCGGATCAAGGGAGCTACGTCAGCCATGGCCCGAAACTACAAGCGTCTGCGCAATGTCAGTATCCTTGTGCGGGCTGACCGATGCTTGCCAGCCATGGCTGCGGCGTGAGGTTCAGCAGCGAAACACAACACACCAAGCTGCAATTGATGGATACCATTATCGCTAACGCGGATCAGGGTTCTATGTTGAGCTTTCGGGGCAACATCTGCTGTTCTTAAAGTGCAACACTAGAACTTCGAGCTCTCTGGCTGCCGTCAGCTTCGTCTGCCTCCAGACCGCAGCCATCTCATGGCGCTGTAGGCGATCAGCACGAGCCTCACACTACTTCGATTCCTCAACTTCGGCTGCTTTAAACACAGGATAGGACAGGTACCGAAGCCCCGGCTTCGCGCCGTTTTGATCGTTTTGGCAGCGGTACACTTAAATTACCTCTTCTTGTATCGTAGTCGCATGATACGAGACCATGTTCGATTAGTAGAATTCCAACTAGTCCCGAGACTCCTACTTTAGCCCTTGCAACTGGCATTTTCGCTACTCCCTCGTCAACGGCATCATGTTATCTTTACCGTCACAACCATCGCCACCACCACGATCACAAAGGCCATGACATCATTATCTTCGGTACTCACCTTCACCGAAGACCCGACCATTGCCTCGCCACGGGCGCTTCGCACTGCATGCCAGTCTTCCAGCGCAGCAGCGAGATTTCCTGCGCCATCGTGGAAAGTACACCCAAGTAGAACCGCAGACTCTGATTAACAATTCCAGGATAATTGCCGGACAGCACATGACCAAGCATGCAGGCAAGCAGAAAGCCCTACCCGGCGCTACCCTGGGAATCTCGACAATCAGGGGTTCGTCGAAACCAAGAGTATTATCTGATCTGGCTTCCCATTCCCCGGCCCTGCCATATGTGGTTCCTAAGGTTATCGGGAACACTTCGAATGGCAAAGCTCGGAGAGTTTAGCAGAAAGCAGCTAAGAAAACACGCACCCCGGGCATGCAAAGTAATACGTGTCAGATTAGGACAAGTCAAAGACAGTACAACCGAATTTTGGCTCAAGGAAAACGTGATTGCATTGCTTGTTGTACTTCCTTGCTAGAACACTTGTGTCTCTTGTGTTCTTCTAAAGCTTTCGCCAGTGACGTCGGTTCAGCCCTCAAGAGAAAAAGGGTCTTGATAGTATGTATGTATGTATGTATGTATGTATGTATATGAATATGTATGTGTATATATATATAGAGAGAGAGAGAGTTATTTTAAAAATATACAATATACACAAAGGGGAACATATACTAGACGGTGGGTAATATACAAACATATAATCGGCAATACATAATAACCCTAAACCCTAAACCCTAAACCGTATATTAATATGTGAAAGAAACTTGGGGTCTTGGACCATGGCCTGCCTCGAAGCGGGGTCGATAGCCGTGCAGCCCGCGAAAAAGTGATTCGCCTCCGAACCCGGGTCGCTTGAGGACATAAAGGAGTGGTATTGTAGTATATTATATTAAATTGTATTATATTATACTATATAATATTATATTATATTGTACTATGTTGTATTATACTATACTATACTGTATTATATTGTATTATAGGTAAAGTTTTGTATACTATATATTATAGTATATTATAGTATATCATAGTATATTATAGTATATTATAGTATATTATAGTATATAATAGTATATCATGTTATATTATATCATAGTATACTATAGTATATCATACTACATCATAATATATTGTACTATGTTCTATTATATTTTATGATATGACACTATACGATATGATTTTGTACTGTATTATAGTACAGCATATTATATTTTATCATATCATACTATATCATAGTACAGTATAGTGTAGTATAGTACTGTATGTATATATATATATATAGAATTGTAACACGGGTCACAAGAGGCTGCGCAACACTTTCAGCTCATCACCCTGCGGACGTAGACATCAACAAGCAGCCGAGACGGAAAGCTTGTAAAGTTGGACTTGCCTTCGTAGTGTTTTCAGACTTGAACTCTGAAACACCCGAAGCCCTATGCAACACAGCTCACTCCAGGTTCCAGGCGTCCGAAAGAGCAGCCTCAGGTGTGCGCCGGTTTCCTCAGCCTTGCCGGAATCTTGCGGAGGGTGCAAGGCTTTCGTCTCTTATCAATCCTGCATTACCTTGAGGACCCTGAACTATGGGAATTATGGTATACTCCTTATTATGGGTAATGCAGGGTTTATATTATCAGCCGTAAGGAGCTTAGCTAAGTTGCCATTATAGGGATCTATAGTGAATAAGGTTGTTTCTTTCTGATGTTAGCCCTAAGCCCTAAACCCCAGATCCCGCACTTATTTCTTGGTCTAGGGCAGTCTAGGGGACATAGAGGTCAGCGAAAAATTCTGAAATCCTCCCCTCCAGAATCCCCCAGACTGCGGATGTTTTCGGAGGCTAGAATGAGACTTTCATGAAATGCTGCCCATGCTCACAACTCTTCTTGAATGCTAATCCTTCCCAGCATCTGGGACTGTGCTGCTGGCGAGAGCGGGGCCTTCGCAACTGCTGCGGTGACAGCTGCCTCAAACTCACCCTGACCTCATCATCAGTCACTGTCGCACAGGGGCGTTAGCAACCAGCCGAGCGTCATTCCCAAACAGTGATAGATCACCACGACGACCATGACGATCCCGACGAACGACCACGTCCACCACAACCAGCACGACCACCAAAAGACAAGCAAGAGACCATCTGACATTTCACCACGACGACCACGAGACCTTCAGGAGACGACCAGGAGGCCACCACAAAACCCCGGAAAGACAGCCCAGGAGACCACCCCATTGAGCACTGAGACGACCATGACGACCACAACCACGAAGCCACAGCGGTGTCAATTCTCTCCGGATACCGGTAGAACCCCATGAGCCCATGATGAGTGTAACAAACACGGCTTGGGGAAAAGCAGCTTTAAGTCCATGCAGCCATTCAACGGCAAAGGCCCTGGCGCAAGCTTTGACCCGCCTCAGGAACCAAGCATGACAGGCTTGACCACAAAGCCCTGCATATTATTATTATTATCATCATTATTATTTTTGTTAATATTGTTATTATTACTATTATTGTTATTATTATTATTGTTATTATTATTATTAATAATTATATATATATATATAATGCCCTGCTGCCAAGGCGACTGCCAACTGGAGAGCCACGTCGCCCAAGCTGCAGAACGCCTGCATTCTCTCAGAGAATCCTCTAGGTGTACCGCAAGTGATCAGAAGGAGATAGGAGGCTTCTCAACACCCAGCTGTTTCTACTACAAACAGATGCTGTACAGAGCACATGCATGCACCCGATTCGGTGCAGAGTCTTGCAAAGGATTCAACCAAGAGTCTGAAAGACCCGGTGGGCTGAAAACCGTGCGAGTAGCGGACCATTGGAACAACGCTAGCGCACCAACGCAAACGGAACTCGGCCAAGCCAGTTCAGAAAATCATGGAACTTCCCAAGTCTGGACCACATTGACCATGGCCAACAGTACACGGCTCGTAACGACCATTCTCACATCATGAGCTTTAATTAAGAGAGTATCATTCTATGACTCTATATAGTGCCCCATTTGCGAGCACCCTCAGCCCATTACGTTCGACAGGAAAGCGGCTGAGAAATGCTCGTGCAAACATGCCTGCACCCTGTACAAGCGCAGCTGCACTCACGGCAATCTGCTGCGTTTCAGACCAAGTGCCCGGAAAATGCAGACACTCCCAGCACAAAGCTGCCAGGTGGCCACGGGGGATCCTTCTAGAGTTGGGTCACTGCTGGTCCACAGCGCTGCACGGCCCTAGTATGAACAACGCTAGCTGAAGCTAAAAGAGGCCCTTTAGGCGCTACACCAATAAGGTGCGTCTGTGCGCAGACACGCACGGACAACGAGAAGAGGAGTCTCATGTCTCCTTTACTGAAGATCTGAGTTGCGGGGCCTGTCTAAATTCTAGAGAATTCGATTTCTAGCTTGCTTTTTCTAGCTGTTGTGATTTTTCTAGCTTGCGCTAGATTTTCCGAGCGTTGTCAAGCATTTCCTAGCAAACCGGACATTTAGATCGAGCAAAGAGCCCATGGAAAGAGTGGAGGAAGTGTTGCGCTTTAGAAGTGCCTTGCTTTGTGGAAAAGGCTAAGCGATGCTAAGCGTGTGCCAGGTGATATTGAGGCAAGAATGATGGATGGGATTCTTTGGTTTGTTTACAGTTTTTCATCTTTCCTCAGCTAGCAAAGACTAACCTTAATCTTTAGTACCTAAAGTGCCTTCTTCATAATCAAGCTGAGCCCTAGTTTAGAACAACCTCCCGTGCCGTTCTTTGCAAAACCTGGCTGCACAAGAGGCGCGGCCAACGCCGGCTCCAAAGCTCATCAGCAGCCTTTGCGAGCTGTAGCCTGAGAAACAAAACGAAGAACGGATGGCGGTCCAGGCGGGTCTTAGCGAGTCCGACTCCGGTCTGCACTCCTTTTTTCCTCCCAACATAAACATCGCATGTTTGCGCTTTAGCTCTACCACCGTGTTTAGACCGTGGGCGGGCCATGCAAGCCGGGCTGCCATTGATGCTTGTGCACCGCTAATTCCTGGCTTGCTGACATAAATGCGGCCAGAGGCAAGTACAAATACGCAGAAGCAGATCCGAGGAATCAAACACACGCACACACACACACGCAGACAGTGAGCCTCTGTCCTCAATCATCATCCGACGTGTCAGGCTCGTCAGGAGCTACCTGAAGTTTAGAACTAACTTAACGTGCAAATTATTTAAAGGCTTGCGTGCTCCACGACGAACAGAAAGCATCGCCAAGGTGCTGAGATGTTTTTCAGCTCCATCCACCTAGTGGCAAGTTTGCTTGGAGTGTCTTTGACAGGTCAGCCATCGGCCACATCGAGCAGCAGGCACGAACCAGCATCCAACAGAAATGAAATTGCGTGTGTGCCCTTGCAGCCAAAGCTCGTCTGGATGTGTTCATCATCATCGATGTCATCGCCTAAGATAAGTCGGGATTGCTTTATCTTTCGCACCAAAATCAGGGCATGCCTAACATGATGCCACGTGCAATGGCAAATGACACAGCGCACCATTCATTGATCTGAAAGTCAAGATCATCAAAGCGGCATGTCATGTCCGTGAATCCGAAGTGTTCGTAGAAGGACACGGCTTCGTCCAAAGCGCTTAGAGAGATCCTTCGTTGAGCACTGGCCCGAAGCTTGCATGTGCAGCCTCTTCGAGCACAAACGAATCTTGCACTTCTTCAAGCAAGATTCCATGCACATTGTGTTCGTGGCAACAGGGCACACTTGCGAAGCATCCACTGCATGAAGTGCTTTCCATATCCCTTTCCACGGCTCCTGCCAGACTGCCAGGCATAATTACCACTTAGCGCTGCAGCACTCAATCATGGGCGTAGAGTAGAGACATGCCACATGTATCACAGAGCTAAAGGTTCTAGCTCCCAGAGTATGAAAAATATAAACAAAACCGAACCAGTGCCTGGCAATCACAGCGATTCGCGCGACATGGAACTCGGCGCTCTTGGTGCTGAGATGATAGCAGATGAAACCGCAAAAGCGCTTCGGCTCGGATTCAGCATCCACCAGTAAGGAAAGCGTCCAGCCTGCTAGAATCCGAAATCTCGACTTCATATTTAACTTATGTACGTATACACATACATATGTATTCATGTGTACGTATGCAAATATGTACGTATGTATAAATACGTAAAATGCATGCATCATGTATCTATGTATGTATGCATGCATGCATGTATTTACAATGTAAAAATGTGTAGACATATGTACATATATATATATATAGATTTATTTATTTGCCTGTTATTTATTTATTTGTATGTTTGTATGTATGTATGTATGTATGTATGTATGTATGTATGTATGTACGTATGTATGTATGTATGCAGGTATGCAGGTATGTGTGTATGTATGTATGTATGTATGTATGTATGTATGTATCTATGTAACTAACGTATGTATGCATGTGTATAACTATACATAATAATATAGTATAATAAAGCAACAACAGATCAGAATAGAACAGAATAGACTAGACGAAAATAGAAATATGATATAAGATAATCTCCAATATCTTATGATATGTTATCCTGTGTTATATGAGCAGGCTCTAAAGTTATTTGTTTATGCCAGCTTCGTCCGTAGATTAGGGGCCCCCTATCGTTTTGCAGTCTTTGCTACTTCAAGCATATTGGAACAAAAGATACATTGCTTTCGAGTAGTGAGATACAATATAGCGGCATTGCAGGGCGTGGCCTGGGGTTGGGGCCATTGGGGCCTTTTGAGGTCCTTGGATCTTTTTGGGTTCTGAGCTTTTCTGCTTTGCATTTCGATTGGGCGCTCGGCCTCGAGCAGTCATCAAGAACTAGTTTAGGAGAGCATGCGAGGCCGTTTGCGATGCGGAGAGTCGGTTTGGACCTGAGGTTTAAGCTTCCATGCATTAGAGAGTTCAGAGATGTTTGGAGTCCTCAGTTTTGGGGCTTTCGGGCGTCTGGTCCGAGCAATACTGCTGAGACGGTACACAGACATTTTGACTGTCGTTCTGTCCAATTTGGGGGTGTCGTCTAGTTTCCAAATTTTTCCATTCCGAGAAACCTCGACACCCTTACTAAACCCTAGACTCCCGACGAGCTCTCTTGGACGCAACAAGAAGGTAAGGTTGCGATGGTAACATTGCTGAATTGAGGGTACGGTCTTCGGGGAGCCCCCTATCGTTTTACAGGTCACTGAGTCACCCCGGACCCCTAGCACTTGCCATCTTCGACAACCGCCTGCTTCAAAACAACCCAATAATATTACCCAATATACAACATTTTCGACCCCAACTCACATAATAAGCGCTTCGAACAGAGCCCATACTTGTCCTTGCTGTGCCTCGATCTTCGGCTTTTTGGACGCTATCCTCGCCAAAGAACGCCTCTTTGGAGAGTGTGCGAACCTCCTGCAACATGGCCGTGACCTCTTCGTCAGCATCTTCTGGCCTCGCCATGCCATGCTATGCCCGGACGGCGCACAAGAAACACTAACAAAGCATTCCGGCGAGCCGCTGGACATCGTCCAAGACAATCAGATCTTGCTTCAGCGGCTCCTACAAGCAAGCTAGGACGGTGCGTGCAAAGCCAAGATTTTCATGGCGCTGATGAAACGGGACGGTTGGGAGTTGGAGTCTCGCGCTAACTCAGGAGTGCATCCCCCAAGACCCAGCAGCAGCAAGCAGATGCGCAAGCACCTTGACATGGATTGTTCGCCTTTGCCCCTGATCCAGTTCCTGCTTTGTCTAGGCATTGGCCAGTGGGCATCGCTTCCGGGAGCTTCTGCGAGCAAGGGCATTTTGCGACGAGCTTATACTGCAGAGCTTCATTGCCTCAGCCCTCGGGCACTCAGCTTCATGTTCTAGAAGGTGTCACACTGGCGGAGTTGAAGATTAGGACCCGAGATGAGATGGACCTTCTTCCAGGTGAACTTTAGGGCCCGTTCCAGAGGTGTTGGTCGCCACGACGAAGGCAACCAGTGTCTTCCAAACTTACTTGCATGGGCTGCTGCACTTCCCACATTAGAGTTCTTTTCCGACTGCCCACGGTCCACTGATTTCTTCACGTTGGGACTTGGCAACGGGCTCTCGATAAGACCCCGTCGGCAGACTCTGTACAAAAGCTGCGCACTTCCTCGTGCATCATTGGAATCTTGATCATCCGGCGCATGCACGAAGACAGTGCTCTTACATTCTATGTATGCCTACCACACTTCCCTTGCCGAATCTGCATTTCATTCATCACACAAATCTCAATCAAGAGATGCTTGACGATCGTCTGCGCCTTCGAGAACCCAGTTGAAACGGAAGCGGGTACACTGTTCGGTACCATTTCATGAGCCACTGAAACTTTGCAAAGAAGGCACCTTCCATGCTACGGATCGGAAGAGATTCCATCGCTTCGGGCATGGGCCTTACCAGTAT